ATAGAGAGGGATCGTCAAAATCTCTTCAACTTCTTTCCATAATTATTTTTGATATCTTTAGCGTGCAAAATAAAATATCAACTATTTAGGTAATTACTTCACAGTTACATGTAGGATTCAGACTAGGAGTAGGGTAATTTGATCCGAAAGAATATCATTACTCTTAAAATATACAAATCACAAATATCATTAGAATGATATAAAATCACAAATATATCTTAATTAATATAGAAAAGTGAGAAAAAAATCACAAATATAAATTCGTGAAGTATAATGATTAGTAAAATGATATACAATCACAAATATAAATTCTTGAAGTATAACATTTTCTTTTCTATTTTGGGCAAAATCTCACATGACATAATTTTTAAGTTAATTAAATATATATATTTTTTAATAATAAAGCTCACGTGATTAATTATTATTCACGATCCATCTTTGAGAAGATTTTGTTCTTCCACAAGCACAACTTTATATGATTAAATTTTAACACCATGCAGAAGCACAACTTTAATTAAGTTGGTTAGACTACCTCTCGAGATCACTTTTCCGCTCATAAATAAAAGTTGCATATTTATTTATTTATTTATTTTCACTTAAAGTTGTATATTTATAGGACAAAATTTGTCTATTCATTGATGAGTAGGTCATCCCTATTAATAACTACGCAATTCATGTATAAATAATTAGTAATTACAAAATCATAAAAGCAATAAATAAAGATAGTAATATATATTTTTTCTGCTGTGAGTAAGCAAATCTAGTCCTTACATTAAATGTAAATAAGGACTAATTTTTTATTTTTATTAAATTTTCTTTTAACCATGAGATGCTATCACAATGATGGCTAATTAACAACATGCATAAAAATAGTACTCCCTAGTCCCTCTGCACTAAAAAAGAATAATGTCTACATTTTTATTTTTAAATATTCCAAAATAAATATGTTTCAATTAAAAAGTCAAAGTATTATAGATAAATTTAATAATTTATTTAGTACCATTACATTAAATTTTTTATTTTTTTTTAAAGTAACATAATCTTTAGGGCAGCCAGTATAGTGCTAGCTATATCGACTAGCAAAGCTTTGTTGGATTGCTGCAATTGTACTGATGTGGCTAGCAACAGTATATTGCTATCTATCAGCCACAGGTTAATTAATATCTGTTATTTTATTTTATTTTTTGTATTTTTTTAATACATTTAATATTTTGAGTAAAAAAAATTAAAAACATATTTATTTTTTTGTTTGCTTGTATTTTTTAAAACGGCTACTTTTTCAACGACTTGAAATTTTTTTATTATATATTTGAATGGAATACTTCTTTTAATACATTTAAATTAATATATTTTCTAATAATTAAATAAATAAAAAATACATTACATATTTTCTCACAATTACATAAATAAAATTAAAATACATTACATATTTTATCACAATTACATAAATAAAATAAATAAATAAACATTACATATTTTCTCACAATTACATAAAAAAAAAAAAGACATTACATATTTTATCACAAATAAATAAATAAAATAAAATGACATTGCATATTTTTTCACAAATATAAATAAATTACATATGACCACCACCTTCATTTAATCTATTTAAGATTTGATTTTGTTATTGAATGATCCATACCTTTGATGCTTTTGTTAAAACCTTTGATGGATCTTGACGCATCTCTTTCAAACTCCATTTCAGCCATCCTTTCTCTTCTTCTTTTTTCTAACTGTTTAATCAAAATCATAAATATTTTTTTTACAATAAAAATAAATTTCATATAAATGAAAATAGTAACCAAAAGAAAAAAAAAAAGAAAAAGAAAAAGCAAAAAAAGGTCAAAGAGCCGCTGCAGCAGATGTGGGCCCAGTCATATCGCAACACCATTGCTATCTGTTGCTATTCTTTCTCTGGGTCCCACAAATTGCCTGCCTTGTACCAGCCAAACACTAGCTACAAAGGCCCTATACCTGTTGCTCTTACGTCCACACGTATCTTTATTTATTATTATATTCATCGCCTCGGTGTGCCTTGCTATATATAGATGGGTCCTTCTAGAAGAGCTTTCGTCCATTCCAAATCAATTCCATGTCCTCTTGTATTTGCCATTATTAACATTTGCATCCATATTCTTCTTATAAATGACAATTTTATTTTGCATACGTCTAAACCTAATGTCGCATTCAAAATTAACATACTACCTTATAATAAAAGTTTATTTATAAAATTGAGTTCTTCCTAACTTCTTAACCGAAATACATTAGTATTATTATCATTTTTTGAATAGGTGAAAAACATAAATTGGGATCACAATTATCTCCAAGCCATTTAGAGCAATATTTTGCATTTAAGACCTTATTTGCCAATCATTTTCGCTGTTTGGACTTGAAACATAATTAAATGGTAATCAAAAACATTTTTAGTAACATGATATTTGTTACAAGATTTTTGGAAGTAAAAATATGAAAATATATTTGGCAAAAAAATGTTGTAAATTTGAAAATAAAATGACTAGTTAACACTAGAGTCATTTAAGAGTTTTTATTTGGATACATTTATTGCTACAGTGTTTTTATCAAAACTAATTTGGTGCTTTCAGTTTTGACCTCTTTTTCAAAAAACGTTTCAGTGCCATGCAAGTCGTAGCAAAAGTTACCAAATACACTTCTAGTTTTGCTTCGCTACAGTGCAATGTCCCTAAAAAAAAAGAAGAAGAAGAAGCATAGTTAGAAATTTCATTTTAAATAAGAGCATAGTTAGAAAAGAATCAATTTTAAACAGGACTGAACATTGCTGATTAATTTTGAACATGTTTTAGCTTTACCTAGTTTAATTTATTTTTATAAGTAGCTTGCTTATTTTAATTTTGATCTTAAATTCAGGGTCACTTAAGACCTCAAACTCCCAAAAACTGATTACCGTCTCATATTAATAATTCACTTTAAAAATTTTGATTCATAATTTTTGTAAGTTAAAGTTATCGAAGTAAACATCTAATATGAGATATAAGTAATATATAAATATCTAAAAAAATATAATTAAAAATAATTTTAGATGATTTAAAAATAAAAAATGATAATAAATCAAAATTTTAAAAATAGACAACTTATATGAAACTAGGTTAAGAAATGAATTGTCCAAATACAATGTATATATAAATGTGACTACGACATGCTAAATTCATTAATTCCAAAAAACGGTAAATAATTTTCAATTTTTGTGGTTCAACTCCCACCTAACTCCACAGGCAACAAAAATCAATAATGGGCAAAAAACCAAAATCCATCTTGTACTAAAATCGTCACACGTGACGTCAAAATAATATCAATCCATAAACAATGCGTTTTCTTGTTTTTGTCATTTATGAATTATGACCAGCTTCGTAGTCGTAGTAGCGTTTATAATTCCACCAATGTGACTGTTGTCTTGCCAAGCAACCTCACATTTATTTATGGTCTGCGTCATCAATCTAATAGTACTATTTTTATCTAATGCAATATATATATATATATATTGCTATTAATTTCAACCTCACAATTATTGCTTACCTTTTTATCACCTAATACATTAAGAGGTATAAATTTATTGCGCTACGTGGCCCACAAGTGGGATATAGAATAGGTAGGTGCAAAAGACAGCAATCACGATTGATGGAGTTGGTTGGACAAAGCGTACACTCTTTTAAATACTGAATTAAATATTAGAAGCAGAAATATAGATATATACATAAATGCTGAATACTATATTATAAATTATGTCACTCTCATTAAGAATATTACAAGAGAATATTATTATATAGTTTAACTTATTTGCCCATGAGATATCAAATCAAAATTCAGTGTGTATATATATATATATATGTTATATTCAGTCAACTGACTCAACTCTAAGATTCATTAGTCTCTCTCTCAAACTCCCTATTAGTCGCATATACTGCAAGAGAGTTGAACTCTCTATTTTTCCATATGTCTAGATGGACCTGACAGCCCACTCAAATAGGCCCACTCTTCCGAAAGTAGAATATTTGACCCAATATAATTTAGGTGTTTGCTCTTGTAGGCCCTTTATCGCCTCTTTTGTCTTAATGTCTGCCACTTTTGAGACTAATTATTATGTTTTCAATTTTCTTTCAAAAGTACAATAGGGTGTTTTCAATCCATTTGAGTCAACTAATAATAACCCCATAAAAACAATTTACCTTTTTCTTATTATAATAAAACCGATTTATTGATAAAAGCACATAGTAGTGATTTAGGGATCGTTCCCGAATTCAATGGATAGGGTTTTTGAGTTTGGGCTTTTAGCTTTATCTTGGGCTTCTAGCTCTGTTCTTCCAAGCCTGTTTGGAATTGTTTTTGTTGCCAAAGACCCTTTTACTTGGTACTCTTATATCATATATATATATAAATTTGCTTCAATTTTTGAAAATATATATATATATATATATATATATATATATATATATATATATATATATATATATATTGACAACTGATGTGGTCTAGGGGTACCAAGTCCCTACTTTTCAGAGGAAGGGAGGCATGAGTGTGTGAGTACAAACTAAGGAAAAAAAAGAATTTTATCCCGCGACAACTAAGGACATTTTAAGGAATTGAATTTTGATTTTTTTTTTCTTTTCCATTTTTTTTTTCTTTACCTCTATTCTATTTCACTCTATGTTTAAACTACAATTTCAATTCAATTTCAGAAACAAGTAGAATATGATTTATTTATTTATTTTCCAAAAGAGTCCGCCTTGATTTCAGTTTTGGGTTAGGATTCATGGGCAACGCATGTCAAATAAATTACTGGACTCTAGTTTGGTTTGGTATACCCTTATTTGATACATTAATTTTGGGCCATCACCAGGTTTAAATGGATGCTCGTATGGCCCAAATAGATTATGGTGCAGACCGCACCCACATCTTATTAATTGGCCCATTCGATTCGCCGACTGTGGGAGACCCATTTAATGAACATACGTCGAGTATTTAACATTTCACACCTTCCAGAATTTTCAGTGTTTTTACTTTGGTTGACGCTTTACGCACGCACAACTCGCACTCTGCTCCTAGGGTTTTCTGCTTTCTCCGCTCTTCGATAAACAGAGATGAGGTAAATCTCTCTCGTATTCTCTCCTAATTCTTAGCCTTTGGTTTCCTGTTGATTTCTTTACTATCCTGATATTCTAGTCCTTTCAAATTTTATTTGGTTATATTTAATGTTGATTTCATATACTTTGTTTGTATTGATTTTGATTTAACGAAATGTAGATGTGTACATAGGTTTATATATGAATGCTTTAGTTCTTTTCTTTTCTTTCAATTTATTCATTTATTTTTTTGATTTCGCTGATCGCCGTTGTTTGCCGAGAAAACTTGGGGCAGAAGCTTTACCCCTCAAATCATATGTTGTGTACTGTTTTTTTCTCTTCGTTTCGGAGAACTCAAATAGTCCAAGTTAGATGATTGTTACTCTCGGGCTGTGAATAATGAAACGGAAATTTGATCTTTTCTTTTCCTGTTTATTTCTTTTCTTTTTTCTAAAATCCATGTCGAAGATATGTATTTTAGCTAAATCTTCATGGTATTTATGTTCGGTTGCCACAGTAGTTTTACATTTTTTAAAAATCTCCATGGCATGTATGTTTGTGCCCATTGTTAGTTGAATTTATTATTTGATAGGTGAAAATAATACTCATAGATTTGAAATTAATAATTTGGGCTGATGTATCTTCTTATGAAATTGGGGAGATGTTCTGAAGGGATATTTGTACTGTGTCCGTTTTTGAATTAAATCTATGCTTGAAAGGAAATTTTGGTTTGTTGTCGTCATGGCATTGTCTAGAAGTGTTTGTGTTTCTTGATTCAGAGTATGAGATTTTTGTTATAATTTTATTGATGTTTATGAATAACTAATTGTGGCCTGCTGAGAATCGCAAATTGGATGTGCCCATTAGCTGGGATTATGCTAGTCTCTGTGGACTGAATCGACTGATAATAGATGAAAGACAATGGGTATGTAGTGTTTCGTCTCTAGCAAGGTCCATATGTCTTGGTCATACCAAATGACGTTGGTAACATTATGTTTATTCTTTATCTCATTCGGTTTTAATTAAACTTGAAAATCTAATTTTACTCTCTTTTTCTTTTTGTAAAATATAATAGTCAACTGAAAGAATGAAAAATAAATTATTCATGGTAGCCCTCTGGCATTCTGTATATGGATAGTGCTGATAAATAGAAAGGTTCTCAATGTGGCGAAAACAATCTGCAGGAAAATTGCATGAATTGAAGGTGTCGTAATCTATCGTCCTCGGGTTGAATTTCCTTCTTTTCTTTTTTCCCCTTGTTTGATAACGAAACATATTGGAGTTGGTTACGCTGTTTTATAGCTGTTGTTGTAACCTTCAAGTGTACTAGCAACTCAAAATTTCTTCTCGAATTATACAGCTTCCGTGCTTTTCATAATTTTTGCTGTGGGTATATCTCTCATTATATGTTCCAAACTTCAGCCGACATCCTGAAGTGAAGTGGGCCCAGAGGTTGGACAAAGTTTATATCACAGTGCTACTGCCAGATGCAAAGAATGCAAACGTTAATCTAGATCCAGATGGTGTTTTTAAATTCTCTGCTAGTGCTGGAGCAGAGGACCACCTGTATGAAGTGAAGTTGGACCTTTTTGATAAGGTTAATGTAGAGGTTAGTGGCTGGTTTGCATATTTTTGACACCCCTCGGTTCTTTCTGAAATATTTTCCTTTTATGGAGGATCATCTAACCTCCGTTGAACATTAAAATGCTTATTCTGCCATTAGAATCTTATTTGTGCAACTTCAATATGATATCCCCAAACTTTGCCATCTGTGAATTCCATTCTGATGAATGGTCATAAGGAATGGGTTTATCTTAAACAAGCAAGTTAAATTGGATGGCTTTTGTAGCTTCTTACACCTTTTAGGAGATCCATTGAGTCGCAGGTGTGCATGTGCTTGCAGCTGGTCAGGGTTACCAATGTAGAAATTTTTTCTCTGATTTAGTTAGCTCTGCTATTTGACTAGTGACTATTAGGGTTGTAAGAAACAAAAATAAATATAGGATTAGCCTTGTTATGACTTGTGATTTTCAATGTTGTAGGAAAGCAAAATAAATATAGGTTTGAGGAGTATTTTCTGTGTTTTGGAGAAGGCAGAGAAGAAATGGTGGAAGAAACTACTGCGAGGGGATGACAAGGCTCCACACTACGTTAAAGTAGATTGGGACAAATGGGTGGATGAAGATGATGATACTGGTATTCCATTTTGTAATTCACATTTTCTTACCTTAGACTGCTCTGCATGATGTTAATTTTTTTATACCTTTGGTTAATAACTTTGTACTGCACTTTGTATGTTGATCAGGTCCAGAAGACGTTGATTTAGGGGGAATGGATTTTTCGGTAAGGATGCATTAGCTTCTGGCCCTTTTATATTTTGGATTTCTTTTAGAAATTTGTGGTGATCCCCTTCTCAATTTATTTTACAGAAATTCGGTGACATGGGTGGCATGGGAGGCATGGGTGGCATGGGTGGCATGGGTGGCTTGGGTGGCATGGGTGGCATGGGTGGTCTTGGTGGTCTTGGTGGCATGGGTGGCATGGGTGACCTGGGTGGTCTTGGTGGCATGGGTGGCCTGGGTGATGCTATGGGCGATTTTGATGACAGCGATGATGATGGTAATACTTTAAAAAGCATTCTTTTTCTATGTACAGTATGAGTACTAAGTACAAGAACAAAACATAATACACGCTTATGTTACCAAAATGAAAATGATGAGATGGATGATAGGAGTAATCAGAGGAGATATAATTAATTATTAGGTTAGAAAAAGATTAGGAGTAATACTTGTTAGTGATGAAATAAGATACAATAACTTAGGTGGGGTGGTATAGACATACATAAAGTAGACAAGAAAATGTACCAAAAAGAACAGGAATATTTTAGAGACAAGAGTCAAACTGCTCTAAAATAGGATGAAGATAAAAAAAAAAAAAAAAAAAAAAAAAGTCCTTTTATGTACAAACAAATTAAAGGGAAAAAGTGGTCAAGAGTTGATGTTCTTTGAGAGTTGCAAAGGAATGAGCTGACAATATAACACAAATAATGCTCATTGTGAAAGCTTGGCACTAAAATTTTCTAAATTAATGTGCAACGAGCTTGGTAAAACTTTGGAGTAAGAAGGAATGAGATATAATTCTGCTCAATCCCAACCCACGAATTGGAGCTATATTGCTAACATTTTCAGGGATAGAGGTCATCCCTTTAAGATTTAAAGCAACATTTAGATGTATAAAGAAGTGCCAAAGGGTAATATTGTTTATTGATGATCAACAAGGCTTGAACATGGGAAGGGTGGGAACTCGAATTGGGAAATATGCTTTTTCCGTGTGTCAAATTTCTGTTTCTCTGTGGTTTTTTGGTAGCTAAAATGCTAGATGGTACTATGAATGATCCTATAAGCAGTTGCTCGGTATCTTGCTGACTCTTGTAAATGTTGTGAGTAATTCTTTGCAATTACTAAAGATGAAACTTAGTTACTTGGTGTTCCTTATGATAACAGCTCTTGTTTGTTGAATATTCCAATAGTTTTGCCTCTGTGCTATGTTAGTCTTGCAACCACGCTAGTTTCTTCTAGCCTGTAGGATATCCAGAACTGGAAAGTTATGTTGAGTCGAGTGGAACAAGTTGCTTTCTGGCAAAAACGACCCCCCTCCTTCCAACCCCTCTCTTCCGTCCCACTGGGAAAAAAAATGAAATAAATAAAATAACTTGCGACTGTCAAAAGTCTCAAATGGATGTCATGATGGATCTGAGTTGGTTTAGACGGTGTAATAATGTCTGAGTTGTTCATGGCAGGAAAATGTAAATTAGTAATATACAATGTTGAGTATCTGTTCTATGCCTCTCACCCCACTAATTTTTCCTGATTGAAGGATGTTCATTCTCTCTCTGTTTTTTTGGCTCTAGAAATATCAAAGCTGGAAGAGGACAGTGACAAGGCAGGTGGGGTGACAAAGACAGGAGAGCATGAAACCAGTAAGGTGGAAGAAGCAGCTTCAAATGGAAAAGCTGAAGCTGCACCAAGTACTTGAATTTTGTGTTCGTTCTGGATAGTATGGCCTTTGGCTTTGAGCTGGCGGGGTAGATTTATATGCGTTGCAACTGGAAAAGCATGCTTTTACAAAACTGTTGTGAAGGTCAAATTTACCCCACACTCAAGCTGACATCTGTCTTCAGCTTCTCCTTGGAGAGAGAGGAACTATGTTCAATTTCTTTTGGGTGTTATATGTTTAATTAGTGTTTCATGGGTGACAGTCTGATAGCGGCTTCAAATTTCTTTCTGCTGATTTTTTCCCTTTCTTTACATGCTACTACTATCACTGGGAAATTTAAATCGTGTGGCCTGTTATAAGCTTTTTATATACTCTGGACCTGTATTTTCCGAGTATTTTTGGCGCCACGGAATCAAGAATTTCTGGATTAAATCATGTAACGATTACCATCTGCATTGTATCTGCATGCTGATATTTAGATCTGTTGGGAGTGGTCTTGTCTGCCATAGTATAATATATAGCACCAGTCAGTCTCTTTGTTGGTTCGTTCTACGTTGCAAATTGGGGCGGCTAAATTAGGTCACTGGCGCAATGGCCTATGGCGCTGCTTTAGAAAGTCCCACATGGTAATTTTTTAATTGAGGATCCAATTGAGAAAGTCCCACTAATGTTGTGGGTCTAAATGTTTCATGGTAATTTTTGTATTCCAACATTGTGAACTTTAACAAATACGATGGTGATAAGTTTAAATTATATATATATATACTGTAAAAAACTTTTGTACGCCTATGATGGCCGCTTGTCATGTTTTTTATATTCTTCTGAGATTCTTCTCAATGATTAACATTAGTAGGAATTTATTTATTTATTTTTGGCATAAGAATTTATTTCTTTTTACCGACTTAATAATCTTGTGCAACAATAATGGATGTGATTTAAATTGGATAATTGTTTTAGATTTATCAAAATTTTGTTTGGACTAAAAGACGTTGGTAAGTGACATTTTTTTTTTAATTTGGAGGGCAACGATGATAAGTGTATTGAAACACGTACCACAGTCACACACCTACTATTTGAACATATAACACCAAAAAAAGTTGAACATAATGTTTAATTATATGTATTGTTATCTGTACTCGAGTTTTACTTCTCTCGTTCGCACTACTCTCTAACATTTTTGCACAGAAAATATATATGTATATATATATATTTTTTAAATAAATAATAATAATCTTGTTTTAATTTGATATGAAATTTCGAAATAAAAAATCTTAGTAACTAGGAAAGAAGTACAAAAAAAATAAAAATAAATTGCAAAAATTAATTCACAGTGGCTCTCACTAACCCTAAAGGCTAAAACCCTGAGTAGAGCTTCCATTTTCGCATTGTGCGCAGGAGAGATGGAAGAAGCTACGGAGATGGATGTGGAAGAAGGAAATTCTCTTCCAAATTCAAATTCAAATTCGAATTCGATCAAGCGATTTGCACTAAAAAACACTATTCAAACAAACTTCGGACAAGATTACGTCTTTCAAATCGTCCCCAAGTATGTTCTTCTCATCTTTCCTTTTCTTCAATCTTTTTCATTCTCTCTCTAAATTGTATATTTATATGTATTGTACTAGTGATTCAAATGATGATATTGTTTGGTTAATTTGTTTTGAATTTGAATGTTAGGGATGACTGGACGTCGATGGCGGTTTCTCTGTCGAGCAACGCAGTGAAACTATACTCACCAGTCACAGCTCAATACATTGGAGAGTGTAAGGGCCACTCTTCGACCATCCACCATATCTCCTTCTCAGGTCCATCCAATCCACATATCTTGCACTCTTGCTCTTCCGATGCTACCATCAGAGCTTGGGACGCTCGATCATTACAGCAGGTTCCAACCTCTCTCTCTAAAAACACTCATATCTATATGCGTGTGTGTCTAGAAAGCATTTCTGATTGTTTTGGCATATGTACACTCCAGGTGTCTTGTATAAGCGCCGGTCCTTCCCAAGAGATATTCAGCTTCTCTTTTGGCGGATTGGGCGATAATCTTCTTGCTGCTGGAAGTAAGTCTCAGGTATGACTACCTTCCAGCCTCAGCTTTGATCACTTTAAGCTTTCCACATAACTAGGAATCAAGGTTACACGTCTACCTATATATATATATATATATTTTACTGTTTTCATTTTGTGCATAATCATCAAACATTATGTTTGAAACAAGCTGTAATTATTTCATTTGATTTGCTGCAAACTAGAGGTAGCAAGGTTGTATATTCTATTTGTGTCTTGTTTGATTTTGGGTTCTTCTTCTTTGGATTTGCATCAAATGAAAGTTTGCTTCCTTTTGTGCATGCGAATCAGTTTTGGAGACAATACTTTTGAAGGATAATGTGTTGAAAAGGGTTCTTCATCTTTTTCTTCTTCCTAGTGGTGTGTTACAAAGAAAACAATGAAAAAAGAATAGGGAATGTGCAAATTATGCAAATTTTAGAATGCCAGTTTGCTTCCTTTTGTGCGTGAGAGGGAACAAGGTGAATTAGTCTTGATGATAATACTTAGAGGACGATGTGTTGAAATTTCCCATGGGCTTGATTTGTTAGGCATTTGAAACTACTATGTGAGTGTGATGTTTAAATTGACGACTCAAAAACAATTTTAACCAGACTTCCTTTTTCTCATCCTTCATTCCTAATGGGTTATGAAATCTTCGATTGAAGCATGGGAAATTAATAGAAGAAACATATTCGTAAGAGTGTTTTTTTGCATCTTGGTAACTTGTGGCCATTTTCGAGCAGAGCACATGCTCACTCTACCTGATTCAAGAGTATTTTCTTAAACAGGCTTCTGTAGATACCAGGCCTGCCCTTCTAAAGCTTCCTGAAATGTTAGGATCTTTAAATCTGCAATTGTTCTCCTACTAAATTGCCTGAAAGATGGCACAAATAACCTCCAAATGATAAATTTCTGTCTCCCCTCCCCCCCAAAAAAAGGAAAAAAAAATCAGTAGAGTTGCTTCTTCAAAGCTCATACCTCGAGAATTTTAGACCTCCAAGAATGATTACCTTTTTTTGGTAATAAGCAACGTACACACCCATTTTACCCACTTGGGGCTTGCACAAACCCTCTCTTTACAAAGCCATTCACTTGTTTCTTCGAGCCTCTTGGACTTGAAGAGGAAGATGTAGCTGGAACATTGTCACATAAAACTGCAGCCATTTGTCAAAGTGCACGTCCCTGGACAAAGTAACACCTTGAAATGTTTCCTGTCACTCATTAATTTTTCTCATGCAGGTGTTCTTTTGGGATTGGAGAACTAAGAAGCAGGTTGCATGTTTGGAGGAATCTCACATGGATGATGTTACTCAGGTGTGGCTCGTCTGTCAATTCTGTTTGTTTTCCTTGGTAAACAATAACATGTAATAACTTATTTTTTTTACCCAACATTGTTGTCACGATACTGACACAACTAAGGGTTTTCAATGATAAATATTTGCTAACAAATTCAGGAATGCAATTCATTAACATAGTTGTACTGAACTCAGATATGTATGTATGTATCTTTGTGCTTGTGTTTGTATTGTTCTTATCGGAAACCTGAGTGTTTGAAAGTTCCAGTGGTATGTTCTCTCTGGTCTGGTTCAGTTCTTACTATTGGTTAGAGGTATTAATTGGAGGTGCAACTTTGTGGACTGGTGGGATGGGATTTTGTGCCATTTGTTGATTTGGTTCCAAGTATTGTATTATCACTGATTTCAGTGATGTGGGTCTTGTGAACATTTGGATTGCTACAACTAGGCATCTTTCTATCTTCAACATTTTTAAGTCTTCATTCATGTTCTGTAAGTGTTAGATGGCTTAGTTATTTCTATTTAATTGTTGTTTTCTAGATGCCATCTTTTGTGTGGGAGACTAAGCTACTATTTGGCAGTCAATCACCTTTTTTATTTTTTACATGACTGCTTCACTTTAGTTGTTGGCTGGGTCTGTAATAATATTCCTCTGAAACTATTTATCATAATACCTGCATTGCTGGCGTGCTGATAAAATGGAATGACGAAGAGCTTCCAGTACTTGTAAATGAACATGTTTCTTTAGATGAGCTTGTTGATTTGAACTATTTGTCCTGACTTATGATTGTTTATAGGTTCACTTTGTTCCTGATCATCAAAACAAGCTTGTTTCGGCTTCTGTAGATGGTTTGATGTGTATCTTTGATACTGCTGGAGATATCAATGATGATGATCATCTGGAGTCAGTAAGTACAGGAATTGTTTATGTGTTGTGTTTTACCCATTTTGAAGAGAGAGGGATTGAAACATTAACATATTTTTGGTACCTATGTAACTAAGGAGTGGATAGTATGAACTGTCACCCATACAATTTGATCTAGTCTGCATTGCTGAACCAATGAAGATGTTTATGCAACGATTATTTACAATTTAGCAGTTTTAGAGCATTCACTCCCAGTAATGAATTTCCCAGGAATATATATATATATATATATATATATATATAATACAATTTTGTTGTTCATGGATATGCCTGAGGTAGGTTTCCTATTTAAAAATCCTACATGTTGGTAAACATTTCCTACAGTTTCTTCTAGATGTGCGACTTGTAAGAAATTTTTTTACTATTGCATAAATTGTTATATTTATGCGCAAAGATGAAGAAGCTGCATACAAAGGTTTAAAAGGAGTAGTTCTAGCGTATTATGTAGTCAATCCTGATAGTTGTTTGAGTCAAATATATAAATTGTGATTAATATTTTTGCATTAGTTATGTACTTGTAAATACTGGGATGGAGAAATTTTGATGTTTGTCTTTAAGGACAAGACATAACTCTTCATTTGAACTCAAATTTTTTTATTTATTGTTCAGTACTTTGAAATAACTTGAAAAAACCCTTTTGGTCATTGGTTTCATCATTCAGAAGAAGCTACTTTTTTGTTATTAGAATGCTACTGCCCAATAATATTGATCATATAATATTGTTAACATTGACGTATACTAATCTCTTATTGTCATATATTTAATGCTGAAACTAGTCCTTTAAGAATATCTAATCTTTTTATTTTACATTTTCTTTGAATTTCTACAACGTACTGCTCCAACAAATGCAGGTGATTAACGTTGGAACCTCAATTGGAAAAGTAGGGTTTCTCGGAGAGAAAAATCAAAAGCTTTGGTGTTTGACACATATTGAAACTTTAAGGTATAATAGGAAACTACTTTGAATGTTATAGTATTATGACTTTGTCAATGTTTGCCACTCTGAGATGTAATTGCACTATCATATCCTCCGTCATGAGTTATGAGACATGAGCATAGTGGAATAGTTTTACTTTTGGGTTTTGGTTTAATTTATGTTTACTGTACATAAGCAACTTCTGGCTTAATTTATGTTTACTGAACATAAGCATTGTAAAATAGTTCTACCATTTGCTTAATCTATGTTTACTCGCTTGTGGATGTAGATTTTGCTAATGCTTTGTTCGGTAAGAAGAAAGGAAGAGGGGTGGAGGGAAGATAGGAAGGAATAAACTTCCTTCGTTCGGTAGGGAGGAGACAAGGAGAGAAAGAATAATAAGATGGATGAGTCATCCTTCATCCTTTACAAATTTTCATCCCTCCAAATATGAGCGGAAGATTGGAGGAAGACAAGTGGGTACAATTTAAATTACTCCTTTCGTCCCACAAAAAATGTCCACCTTTCTATTTTTTAGCTGTCCCAAAATAATTGTCCCAATTCAAAATCCAATGTACTATTTTAATAACATTCCTAATTTACCCTCCATGCCCTGAAGTTATAAAAGCAATTTTAATAGAAGGGTATATTTGGAAATTCAATTCCTTTTGTGGGACGGAGGGAGTACAATACTATCCTCTATAAATTACAATATTATAGATAGTGATTGGTATAATGGTAAAACCAATTTAAAACTCTCTTCCCTTCTCTTCTATAGAACATAGTAATTTGTGAGCTTATTTTCTTTTCTTCCAGCCAACCAAACAAAAAGAGAGGACACAATCTCATCTCTCGGAATCTCTCATCCATCCCTTATTCCCTCCCTTCCATTCAATTTTTTCCCTTCCTATTGAACGAAGTATAAGAAATTTATTGCAAACAAGCGTAACCAATACTAGTGTATCGATGGCCATGGAAGGGGGATAGGCATGTGTCCCACCCTACCATCCTCATGAAGTTTTTTAGTTTGGATTTTCCAAATCAAATTAGGTGTAGGCTACATGTTATCATATAAGGTAGATAGCTATACCAATATGGTATTTTACCTTTATTCAATTTATATTTGAGAACTAATGTTCCACTCTGAATTTGATGGCCCTAAGGTAGGTAGCTATACCAATATGGTGTTTTTGCTTTATTCAATTTATACTTGAGACCTAATGTTCCACTCTGAATTTGATGGCCCTTCAGTGTTTGGGACTGGATAGATGCAAGAGCTGAAGTCAACTTCGAGGATGCTCGCTCATTGGCCTCTAACAGCTGGACACTAGACCATGTATGCAATCTTTTACTCTTGATTTAGCACAGTAATTTTGCTAGACTACAAAACTACTGCAAGCTCCAAATTCTACTAAAACCTCTATTGCTTTTGATATATATATAATGCACATTTCATGACAGGTAAACATAGGAAAATATTTATGCATCTGTACACCTGACACATTTGGAGCTTCATCGGGATTGGGCCGAGAGCATAGACCTCACATGGCAAAAAAAAAAAAAAGCAAGGCCCATGATTCTGATAATATGATTCATATGGCCATTTGGTTGCACAAAATTTTGTGATCCAGTGTTAGGATATTGTTTTTTACAGGCTATCCTTTAGTCTTGAGCTTTTATGTGTCCTAGCTGGACTTCCCCATCCCAGTACTAAACCCCGGCATAGTGATCGTAATGCTTTCTTGCTGTTGCTGGAATAAATAAAGAGCACATATATCATAATAGAATTTCCTGCTATTTACTTGCTGATAGTTGGCACTTGGCACCTACTTTCACCAAATTAATTCTGAGATGTTAGTTGTTCAACCTCTAAGAGTGTGTTTTGCTACAGGGAGGATTTACCATTCCTTGAAATGTTATAGGCCCCATTTAGAGCTTTTAGCCGTAACTGAATAGTGGTTTGGCATTCAACTTTAGAAACACTTACAAGACCACAAATAACATAACTGGAACTATAGTGTCGTAATTAAACTTTCAGTATAAGATTTCTAGATTACATACACTAATTGAGCTTCTAATGGTGGCAGGTTGACTATTTTGTTGATTGTTGTTACTCGGGTGAAAATGATCATTTATGGGTGATTGGTGGCACCAATGCTGGCAGCTTGGGCTACTTCCCCGTAAATTATAAAGGAAAGGGAGCAATTGGATATCCGGATGCTGTTCTTCAGGGTGGTCATACAGGCACTGTTAGGAGTGTATTGCATATGTCAGGCCTGCACAGTGGACCCACCCAAAGTCGGGGTATTTTTGGATGGACTGGTGGCGAAGACGGCCGCCTATGCTGCTGGTTGTCAGATGAATCATCTAATATAAATCGTTCCTGGGTTTCAAAACTCGTTATGAAGTCACCCAAGACCTGCAGGAAAAGCAGGCACATTCCTTATTAGTTTCGTACTTTCTGGTGAAAGTTCGCATGTTGTATTGTAATTTGTTTAGTTTTTTGTTTAGTTTTTGTTTTTTCAATGGAGAGAGTTGGGGACCTCAAGGATGAAGTGGGAATTCCTCATGAGTTTCTGTATCCTGTATTACATTAAAATTAAAATTTAGAGGCAAATCAAATCCTTGCCCCTTGGTTTCAGAAAGGTGCATAAATAATAATAATTTTGACTCAAAAGTATTTATGCACAATCTCTGCAAAGCAGTAAAAGACAAGGACATAAAATTTGATGTTTTCGAAAAAAAATGGTTTACTATAAACAGTAATTGCAAAATCATTCCAAATTTGTAAAATAAGTTGTTAAAGGTCCACAAAATAATTTTGTCGGTAATAGTCCCGGAAACGGTTACGAAAATGAATTTGGTCGTAGAAAGCCATGATTTCTTCCTTATAAACTTTTAGTGACAAAAAACCAAGCGGCAAAATTTAAGTGTCGAAACAATATACATGTGGAAGAAAAACCACTGGTTGGGTCATGCTTGGGATCATATCCGCAATCGAATTCATGACTTGCAGCCAATCTCAGTCATAATGTAACTTTGTATGAAATTCAAGGTCCATGCTTTTTGCTACCTGTGATAAATCACTCCGCATTTGTAACAGAGTACCTGTGATAAATCACTCCGCATTTGTACATCCATACAAATTATAATTACGAATTGAGTAATACTCCTGACACGATAGAATGCCAAGAATATGGGAACAATTTTCAGAATGTGTAGCAAAGCCAAACACACTGTCCGAAAACATCCAAAAGCATCCATGCTGCAGTATGATGAAATGTACATAAACCAAGAAACAAAAGCTATTATATTCCTTCAACTCGAAATTAACATTCAGTTTCAGAGAAAAATTTAATATTGGATTACATGACATAAAGAACTACCTACAGACGTTCCCCTCAATTATTCTAATTGGTGGGGATTACAACAATACAAGTTGGAAGAAATCATGAAATCTGCAGCTCGCACACCTCATCATGAATGCAATGCTCTTTCTGGTCTTTTAATGGATGGATATCGTCCAAAGAAGATCAGAATCAGATTGCACAGTTATTTTCTTTTCTTTCACAATATTCGATGTACTTATTAAACCACCAAATCTCATTTCCGTGCCAGCTGTTAGAGAGAGGATTCCAATTAAAATTGTATCAGACACATCCAATGGCAGAACCCCCGGACCCCCGCCCCCCACCCAAAAAAAAAAAAAAAAAGGAGTGGTGAGGGGGGGTGGTTGTTTGATATACCATTCGACTTCAACAAATAAAGGAAGTAAAAGAAAGGTATAATGTCATTGTGATATGCTTACCAAGATTCCATTCGAGCCCGGAGGTGGTAGTGCTTCTAGATGGCATCCCAATCGGGACAAGTCCACAATGAGGGCCCTCAACTGAGGACTGGATATGGATCTCATGACGGTGAGTCTTTGGAAGAAGTTGGATGAGGCAATCATTGGATAAAAGAACTATTCTCATGGACGAGAAATTATAAAGAACATTTATGTTTCCAGCCTCATGGTCAAACCGTCCACCAAGTGCTCCAGCAACAAGAATGCATAACTTCAATTAAAACAAGACTAACAATCACCAGTGACAAATTTAGAAAAAGGAAGTTTCTAGAAAATAAAAAGTTTTCCGCTTTCCAGCTTCTAATCAAACTTATTGACAGAAAAGGATTGGCTGGTTGCAATATTCATATCACCACCTTAACAGATCAGAATAAAGTTCAAGCTTACATGAAACAAAGCAATTCTTGCAAAAAGAGAAACTGAAAGATCATATGAAACTTACATTAGACTTGTCCAGGTTTGGTGTGCAGTCACGAATATATGCTATGCATTTATGGAGGTCTGTGGTGTCCTGATCATTAGATGCATCTTCTATCTCGGTATTCTGTGGTCAATAAAGCACAGGCATTCTGATATTTAAGTTCTAAAGCATAGTATATAATACATACTGGACAACAACGGCCAAATATAATAAAAATACATGGAAAAGGAAAATTATGCACACAAAGCAAAGAAATGACATTATGGTCTAATTGCAAAAAGACATCATTGTTATATAAGCTTAAACATTTTTAACTTACACCTGAATCTCATTGTAAGTTACATGGCTATATGAAACAATATATTTTGATATATACTCTTTTCAGTTGCTATCAATAAAAATTGAACCCTCAACCCCAATCCTCTCTTTAGATGACACAAGCACTTTCACCATTATGCTACTTCAGCTTTTGCAGTATATTGATGCACATTTATTTGTTCATTCTGACAGAAAATAAAAGGTGAATTTTGTTATTGGCAGTATCCACACGTGCATTGGCTATTCAAATACATAAACATGCAAACAAGCAAAGGAAGCAAGCAGTATAGGGCCCTCTCAATTCCCCAAGTTAATCCTGAAGTTTTACTCCTGCACACATGCATGCACAAGCTATATTAGAATCGGAAAAAAATTAAAATTGGTGAAGTACATTTGCAAAACCACTGCCATGTCATATTTTCCAATTTTGAAGCTCCCAGAAGTTATAGGATTTCTGACTTGCTTACACTTACTTCTTTCCTATAAATCAATTTTTTCTTTAAACTTTTAAGTTCTCCTTCACAAACAAATGTACATCAGTGCATATTAAATATGTGCATAATTAGTAGAGTGAAATTTCTTGGCAAGCTATATTGCTATAATAATGAGACTAATTGACATACTCCATAATCATCCTCAACAGAGAATGTCAAATGGTTATGTAAAAAAAATGTCGCTAGCTCACCATGTTTTTATAGAAATCTTTTACTTCTTGTCTAACTGAATCCATGTCTCCCTTTATTACATCTGGCTTGTACCTGCAATAAATCCATGACTTAATATTGCAAATGGTCAATTTAGAACAAGGGTCCAGAAAATATACTGCAAAAAAGTGAACCAAGAGAAAACATAGAGAAGACTCAAAATGACATAGATTCAGTCTAATTTGGAGAATCCATGATGTAGAAATGACATAGATTCAGTATATTGATGCACAAATAGTACTTGCAAAGCAACAGATAATCAAACTACAATGAAAAAAGCCCCCCAAAGCAAATTAGTGAAGTTAAGATGAAAGCTATGAGAAAATCAACCCAAGAACCCCCAGAGAATACTTTAAAAGGAGCACCATATAGAGACCATGCACATTAACCCACTCGGAATACAATCTGTCTCAATCTCTGAACCCTCAAAAAACTCAAGAGTTATGTTCCTTCTAAATTGATCATGCCACTGTAAATGGAGCTTCCACTGGCTGTCCCTCCAACTCCAAAACCACACATTCAACAAAAAGCTTGGTCCAACAAGAAAAAAAGACATCACCAAGGAAAGCACAAACCTATCTAAGAGACTGCGTAAATTGCCAAAGAGAGAGGCAATAGATGTTGTAGGAAAGCAAATATGTCAAAACTTTCCAATTGATAAATAAAATATACATGGAAGAACAGCTCAATGTTCACATGCAGCAATTGTGGTGTTCATAGGCTTGAGATCCCATGTACGCTAACCCACGCAGGGTGACTTGAACCCAACAATCAGTTCAATCTTCTTACGATTAGATCTATGTTATTTTTCTCCAAGTAGCAGCTCATCCAATAAACATGACATTCTAGTTCTATGTGCTAATAATTCACAAGTCCTTCAAATAAAGTAGGAAATGTTAAACTGTTGCCTCTCTGTCGAAGTAACCACACCACTTTTAGAATTTCCTTAATCCCTTTGTCACTTAGTCCATAGCGCAACACCAATTTAGAGCCTTAATTTCATAGTATCACAGTGTCACTCAATAGAACCACAACATATTATTTCCATATGTGTCCTAACAATTTCAATCTCAGATTCTAAAAACTATTTCAGTTAGAACCTAAAAACTATAGCTACATATTCTAGTAGACCTAGAGTAGGTTTGCATAGTTCTATAGCACCAACCAGAGCTATCTTCAGATTCTATAAACTTGATTGAATCTCTTATCCAATCGCTCTCATATGAATCAATCTGAGGACAATAAATGAGATTAAACTCTTTTCTTAACCTACATTTGACAGCCAATAAAACTGATAATTTTGTTGTCTCAAAATTTATATATCAAAATTTAATTGTTACCCGTGTATAAGATTTATGCCAAAACTTAATTGTCACTCATATCTGAAATTTAAGTTTTGCATACCTTCCTTTAAAAAGAATTATATTATGTTTTTTGTTTTCCAAAAACTCAATTACAATGACAAATTTGATGTATTAGGCTTTCAATGATTTTTATGGTCTCATGTAATCAAGAATATAAAATCCAAAATATTTTATTCCTTAATTTCCTTTTATTCTCTTTCATTTATTTATTTCTTTCTTTATTTTTTATTTACATTTTCTGAGCAAGTAAAAGGAACTTTTACACCCAAAAGGAAGAAGGGAAAAAGGAGGAGCAAAAGAGAGAAAATTTCCAGTTTTCAAAGGCAATTAGGGAGGATGAACTTTTTTTATTTCAAAATCAGGCAGGTCCTGCTCAATCAAGGTTCCGAAGCCTCTAATTTCATAAAAGAAAAGGGAAAAAACTAGAATTAACTATTATTAATTTATTAGTTGCTAAGAAGAAATTGGAAGAGAAAATAAGAAGTCCAATCCCCATATCAAACCAATGAATTTGAGTTATTTCTTTTAAGGGAAACCAAAACACTAAAAATATAAGGAACAAAATTTATCTTCTTGTCTTTTCCACAGCTTTCTCAGCCACCAAACCCATAGTAAAAGGGTAAAAGTAATCAAAAAAAAAAGGTGAACAAAAATATAATCATTTTGCAGTCACAAAAAGACAAACAAACAAAGAATATAGTAAAAGTCGAACAGATACAATTTTTTTTTTTTTTTGGAAAAAGAAATAGCAAAAATAATCAAGATTTGACCAGTCGGAGAAGAAGAAAAAACCTATTTTGAACAACGGAGGCGTCCTCTTGAGGGAACAGTTGAGGAAATTCATCAAACAAGCGATTAGCGCCACCATCTGCGCAAATACGAAGTTTTGCTGCTCGACACCAAAACACATTACTTTAATTCAGACAATCGAAAACCAGAACTACACTCATTCACAATTAACCTTATATATATATATATATATATATATATATATATATATGCACACACATATAAAGAGAGAGAGAAAGATAGACCGTGGTCCCAAAGCAGAGGAGCGAATCGAGGTAGGCGTTGGTTAAGCAAGACGAGTACGTATGTCGGAGAAGGGAGGTTGTCGGCGGGTGTCGGAGGTAAGAGAAAGGTAGAAGAATGTGTCATGAGGGGCATTGCTAACAAATTTAGAAAGAAAGATCTTGTGCGTCTCTTGAAATCTTGTGATTGGAACACGCAAGTTTTTATATTCAACAGGGTCGTGTGCCGATAACCCCTATAGTATCTATATTCTGCGTTTAAACCCCTCTTGGTTGTTAACCACCCCTCTACCAAAAAATATGTGCGAATTAGTCCCTTTTGCTTGTTTACCGGTCCTCGAGCTGCGAATATACTAAAATACCCCTCATTCTCACCCCGATCTGTTTCTGTTTCAAATCCACCCGTTTTCTTCTCCGACGGCATTCTTGGCCGGAGCTTTCGTTGGTTGTTCCTTCCTTGCTCACCGTCTCTTCCGTACACGAGTAGCTTCTCTGCGCCGTGCATACAGTAGCCTAACAAATTCACAACATTGCGATGCTGTACAAATCCAAATTTGCTAATTACTTTGTAAACATGACCAAAACCGCCTTGGCCGAGCTTATGATTTGGGTGGAAATTTTTGGCTGCAACTAGGGTTTCAAAAGGGAATAGCTTCTGTTCTTGTGCCGCGATCCTCTCTAGGTCCTCTTTTTGTCCGTCTGATTAATCAATTACTGAGTGAGTATAACAAAAGTATATAAATATATATATAGACATAAATATATTTGGTGAATTGAAGACGAAAACATACCTTTCTTAGAGACAAAATTGAAGGGTTTGAATAGGTTGTGAATGAAGTTTTCGGATTTGGTCATGGCTGGTGATTATCAAATCCCATGAAGAGATATCTGGCTGCTTTCCTTCTTGCTCGCCGTCGGTGGGTTTTTCAGAGTTCTTTGCCAACACCGCTCCCTCACGTCCGCTCTGTCTCTCCTCTTTCTCTAACACAGAGCCGCCATCCTTGGCGGTGGCGACTCGCCGTCTTCTGTCATCTCCGAGTACACTGTCGTTCCATGCCCGTCGGTTTGTCCAGTGATGATTAGACCTTCCCGACGGAGGTCCATGTAATAGGGTGAGGGCAATTACGGAATATAAAAAGGATAATATTGGATTTTAAGGTTTTAACGGCCATTCTCAACTGAAATTCCTATAGGGGTGGTTAGTTGCAACAATTTAAGATTTAGAGTGGACTTGTATGCACAAAAATAAATTATAAGGGTGTAATCGCACAAAATCTGACTGTTTTTTCTAGACTTTACCCTATTCAATAAAAACATAAGAGAGAATCAATGCTGAGCGGTTGGTAGTCATGCGAGTGTGAATGGGGGCACTTTAAATCTTTGTTTTCAATAAAGGTCAACCCCACCTATCAGGGAATAAATAAAATAAAATAATAAAAAAAAAAAAAGCAAAAAGTCATAGGTCACTTACCAACAAAACAAGAAAAGGATCGATCCTTGGGCACACATCCAACTTCACATTCCGCCACTACACAGTCAAATTATATCTCCTTTGGTTTCACACCAAACGACTTGTAATTTTAGTACCTATGTATGTATGCATGTAATACATTTTATTTATTTTTATACCAACAAACAGTAATTTTATTCAAGCACAAACAAATAAACAAATTAACTAAAAAAAAAAGTGAGCCCAGAACTCAACAGGGGTGCAAGATTCCAAGTGTTAAAGTGTTTAGTATGTTTTACAGATTTCTCCGCATCCTAATTTCATGTATCGTCTTTTTTATAAATCTTTTTTTAATTTTAAAAAGAGAAAATAAATTGCATACAAAAATAATATATATATCATACTTAAATAGTAATTATAGGAACAGAGAAACCCATAGCAAAAAAAAAAAAAAAAAAAATTGGTTCAAAACAGTAATTAAAAAATGGTACTCGTTATTATTGATCAACTAGTTTTCAAAGGCAGATGGGACCCACCTGTCCGACCAATAAGCAGTGACTGGTCAACGAGACTATGGAGTCTACAGTAAATGAGTGGCAGTAGATTTGAGATTAAAGGAAATCAGTGGAATGGTCAACTAAAATCGTGCATGCCACATGCCAACAACCATACAACATACGGAGTACAATATATAATAGGGTATAACTTCCGAAAAAATATATATATATATATATATATATATATATACATATATATAAAATAGGGTAAAGTGTAATAAAATCCACTAATATTACCTTATAATTGGCTAAGCCTAACTATAATTAGCCTCAAATCGCATCTTCTCTGGTCTCATTATCCGCAATCCCGTCAACAACTATAGACACTAAATTTCGCAAACCCAATCACAAAATCATTATCAACTTACAAAATTACTTCTGTGTGATTCGCCCATTTGCTGCTAGAGCCCAAACTCCTCCAACACAATACTAAATCATATGAAGAAAATAAATCCAAATCCTAGAACTGATTCACCATTTTTTCCGGTGATGAAGTTATGGTGGGGGTGACGGTGGTTGCAGAAGTGGTGGGTAATGGCAGTGGCTCGGTGGTTTAATATGGTTGGTTCGGCAATGATGGCGTTGACGGTGGCTTTGTAGGATTCGATTGGATAAAATTGTTTGAGAGAAGTTTGTTGCTTGATTGGTTGACGTTATGGTGGCGTTTCAAAAAATTCGTGGTTTGATTGGTTCGGTGATGACGGTGGCGGCAGCGAGCTTGTAGGGTTCGATTGAGTAATTGTTTTAGTTTTCAATACGATGGAGTGCTTGTGAGAGACTATGGCGGCAGCGGCGGTGGCGGGATTGCGGCACAGTGGCGGGAAGAGAGAGTGGGAAGGTGGGCACTGACGACCGGTAATGGCTGCCGAAGATTTTTTTTTTTTTTTTAAAAAAAAGCTTTGATATATATATATATATATATATATATAGATATATAATATTTAATGTGCCTTTTATTTTGTTTTTATTTTTTTGCCTTTCCTGATCACAGTTACAGTTGTCACTCAACCAACTATTTACTATCATTATTTTTATTGGGTAAAGTGTACTAAAATTACTTAAGATTTGGAGTAAGGATACACACATGAAAGTTTAGTAATTTTCGAACAATGACACCACCTCACCACCTCAAGTGTAATACAGTTGCCAAAGCCCAATACTAATGAATTAACATTTTTGCCTTTAACTTTTATATTGACTAATTATAAAAATGACCTTTTTATCCTCAATTTGCAGACTGTCCTTCTCTCGTTCTCTTTTCCTCTTCACCGCCCCCCAATTCCACCAAAGCCACTTCTTTATCCTTCAATTTTTTCTTTTTTTATATACATATACATACATATATATGCACACACGAAGATAATTATATGTACACGCGGGTGGCGGCGACGACGATGTTGCAGTAGAGGCGGCGACGGTGATTGCAGTTTCGCCGTCCTCTAAGCTCATTGCGCCATCCTCTAAGCTCACCACCATTAACTCCAAACTTCAGTCCCTTATCTTCCTTCTTCTTCCCTTAATTCTCTGAATCGGGCCCACCGCCATTCTCAAAACCTCCGCGCCTCTCTCTGAGACTACCAAACGCACCACGATTGGAAACATATCTCCGTCCTTCGGACGGAACAAAGCTCTTATTAGAAACCCAACTCTCCGATTCGTCCGCCCTCGACTGTGAATCAAAAAATCCCCCCCCCCCCTCCTCTCTCTTTCCTTTCAAATCCATTACTAAACGATGATTTCGTCGAAGCCCCCCAATCATCAGTCTTATCAGCGCGAGAAGGCGCCAATTCTCTGCTCGAATCTCTGCCAAACCCTTATTGTCTACGAGGCTGACCCCTAGAAGAGTTCCACCTAGGGTTTAACGATTTGTCTATGCTCGAATACTTGTTCGAACTGTAGGATTTGAACCCGCCGCTTCTGGACCGCTCCGTCTCCTCCGCGGTTCTCTCACGAGGACCAGTCGAAAGCATTATGAGATCTTCGGAGGTGAGGCCTTTGGCTTGGTAGACCTGAGTCGGCTTATGGGCACTGAAAGTGGAGAATTCGGCAAGAGATAGGGTTTGGCCCTTATTCTTTGTCTTAGTGGCCTTTGCCGAGGAAAGGGGAGGGAAGTTCGTGAGCGCCGCCGTGTCGCGGAGGAGATCGGAGGCATCGTTGCCGTTGAAGTGCTTGGAGTCGTTGTCGGCCCCTTGTTGAAGAAGCTCGTTTTGGTGTTCTTCGGAATCGAGCGCCCACGCGCCTGGTTTGGACCACGCACTAACAATTGCCGCCATAGTTTCTCTCTCTAGAACTCTGTTTCTTTCTCGCTCTATATCACAGTGTAGATAGGTTGAGATAGTGTTCTTTGGCAGCGAGAACACCTGTTATATAAATGGAGGCTGTGGATTCGTGTCGATTGGAGCAAAATGTCCCCGTCGTTGAGACCTTGGTCTTTGGAATCGCCGATGTTGTCTCATCTCACCGCCGGTGATCCCAACAACCTTCACGTCGGCGATCCCACTACACTGAAACCATCTATTAGTTAACCATCGTGCACAGCTTTGCCAGCATCCGAATCTCTGGCCGCCGTTGAAATCACCAATTTCTCCCGATTATTTTGACGGTAATGAAATAAGCAACATGTCTTGAAATAAGTTACGGTGTGTGTGTGTGTGTGTTACGGTGTGTGTGTGTGTGTGTATGTATGTATATATATATATATATATATATATATATAGAGAGAGAGAGAGAGAGAGAGAGAGGGGGATGAAAAGGGTAATTTGGGTTATTTAAGTATTTTGATATTTTATAATTAAAATTAATAAAATAATGAAGGGTAAAGTGCACTTTTCACATGTTTTAAAGCTCTGTTTGGATGATAAATTTTATAAGGGGGTGTCACTGTCCGAAAATAGCCTAACTTTCATCTATGTGTCCTTACCCCAAATCTCAGAGAGTGTCAATGTAATTTACCCATTTTTATTTTGTTATCATTATTTTATTTTATACTAATATAAGTTAATTATTTACTACAGTATTGATTAGAGAGTATTACGGAGTAGGTGAGAGTTTAATGAGGCTGGGCCCAGAAAATTTAAAAGTATTTATGTGTGGTGGAGCAGGCTTCAGGCTTCTTATCTGTAGTCAGCGTACGTACCTTCTAGAAAAGAAAAGGGCAAATTAAATTAAATTAAAAGGGAGTTGAAAATAAGTATAAGAATTAATCATTTCCACATCAACACCCAAAATAAATAAATAAATAAATGGAAGGATTAACCCGATTCATGGCCTGCTTAATTTGTAAAACCAAATTAGTTTACTGTTTCATTTATTATTTTTTATTATTATTCAATAAATAATGGACAAGACTTAAAAACTTAATTAGTTTTATTGTTTCATTCTTTAATTATTATTATTATTATTATTTAATAAGGAAAATAATATTATTGAAAACTTCAAAATTTCAACTTAAATAAATATCATTAATATTCTTGTTTGTTTTCATAAAATACTCCATTTTTCTTTCCTTATCTTTCCAGTTTCCTATAGTCCCTTTCTTTATCCACAGTAAGTTTCATAGTAGTCAAATTTAATAATTTAATTTGCACAAAATCTAGAGCAAAAAGTGTAATATTTTATAATTTTTCCTTGCTTTTACAATTTTTTTTAAAAATTATCTTCTTGCCTTTATTTTTTAGAATTAGATAGATCATTAGTTGATCATTATAGCAATTAACAAATATCTATCAAAGTATTAGATGTATATTAATGATAAAAAAACACAATATTTCAATGGTCCTTACAGAAATGCAATTTGGAATGTAAAACAAATATCCATATACATGATTGTTGAAACTTTAATTGCCAACAAAGGTACTAGATTAAAATAATTACAACTTTCTAGATAGTCAATTACTAGAGTTCATTATATTTGACACATGAGTAACCACATAAACTCAGTGAAGCTGTATGGTTTTATTTGTCACATAAACTCAGTGAAGCTGTATGATTTTATTTGTCGGGCCAAATAACAGACTCATTTAGCTATCCCTTAAAATGTACAAAGGGAGGGGGTAGATTTTACATACTAGTGCCATTAATCCGTGTAGTGCCTTTTTATTGAGGTACAGCCCCAGATTAGAGGCCTGGAATTTTGAAAGAGTAGGAGCATCAAATCGTGTGAATGAACAAAGCTGTTGAAATTTTATTCAATTTAATTGTTAGAAGAATAATTATTGTATTTTCAAAAACAAGATTTTCTTATATTTCATTCTTTAACAAGCAATTATTCCTTCACCAAGGACAAGAGTCGCTAGATGGAATTCAATGTGTCAGTAATTGTTAGTTCCACAGCAAATATGGCCAAATCCCTCATATACAGTCATAGTGATTATGGAAATAAAAATTTAGGTCAAATCACTCCTCATTTTTTTCTTTTTATATAATATATAAAATAAAAATAAAATAAATTCTTTAAATTGGGGCCACAGTTAGTTAAGGAAACAAGACAAATAATTCCAGACAATAGTTATGGTATTTCAATGGCAAATACTCAAAAAGCAGATGATGCACACCCACACTAGTTGACATTATGCCAACTGAATAATTAAGCATTAGGAGGTGGTATTGAAAGACACTCTCACCAGATCCCTGCTCCTGGAAACAAACGCTTAAAATGAAAATCAATCACATTTCAAGCTCCACCTCTCTTGTATTTGGCACGTGCCAATGTTAAACGAAGATAAGAGAGTGATAATAAACAAGGATGGTATTCTTCCTCCAAAGTCCATGTAAAACATAGCAAAAACAAAATCAATAAAGTAGTAGAACTTGACTAACAATAGAAATAAAGACACAATCAACTAATTTTTACAAAACACTAGAAGAAGTTAGACCAACATATTTCCAAAAATGATTTCCGGTAGTTCAATACAAGTACACTCGATAACAAACAAAAATATACGAGCAACTGAGAGATCCTAAAATAATGGTCAATCTCCTCTACCTAGTTTTTTCACTTTTTTTCTTCACCAACTTCACCAGACCCATAAATTTTAATTTCTACTTCATCCATGTTGATGCTTTTTCTGTAATCCCCATTTTATATACCTTATTCAATCCGGGTATCAAAAAACAATTTCCACTGTTGAACTACAGAGAAACCAACAAGAGGATGCTTATTAAATTAATCGAATGGTATATACATATAGCAGGGGGCTAGAGTTGCAAAAATTGGTATAAAAACATGTTCAATATATACTCTAAATTTTATAGGGGTAAACATCCATAAACTAAATATAATACACGAGGACCTGAAGAGGGAAAGGGCTTTTGGGAGGGAGAGACCTGCAACAGGATTTCCATCAATACAGATCCCTGAGATTAGCCTAAGCTTTGATGGTGAAAAAGAACAATTAAATAAGGGATGCTATACACTTCAAGAAACCTCCTCTACATGAAGTAGCTGAGGGATTTCTTCTTCCTCGATCCACCTTCTCCATATAGTTCATTCCACTGGAGGAGCTCACTCATATTTGTAGAATCTGATGACACACTTGCACAGACCTGCATTTGAATATAGTAAGACTTGCTGCCCCTCTAATATTACATCAAACTCTCTTTTTTTTTTGATAAGTAATATTACATCAAACTCACTTATACCAGCCATGCCCAATAAACTGCATATATGTTGTGATATAATTTTATTTTTTTTATTTTTTGTCCACTATGGTGGTCTCGGACCTCTTAGAGCACCCAATAATCCACCACCGGGTATATGTAGTCCCCCCGGTCCCACATGCACCGGCAATTACCGGGAAAATTCCCTTGGGGAGGCCCCAAGGGGATTCTAACTCTTGACCTCCAAGATGTGAGGTGAGTGTCTTTGCAGCTATCCCCTTGGGGTTATATATGCGGCGATATATCTGATTGGAAATGTACATATCCATGAAAAGAGAAAATATTCTGAATGAATAAAAGAGTAATAAAGGGCTGACCAACACATTAGGTGAAAAAATGAAAATAATTAATGAATTAATTCAAGGAATACCTCAAAAGACCAACTATTTACAAGGGGTGACTCTAATGGTCATGTGGAAGACGATTATGAAGGTATAACAAGATCTTATAGTGTGTACTTGGTTTAAAAATAGATATGAACATTAAAGAAACTATAAAAGTGGATTAAACAAAATTTAGATTGATGTTTAAGGGGAAAAAAGTTTGATAGATTCTTTACAACTAAAAGATTTGACTGTTTAACAAGCATAATTTGTAAGGTTATCAATGAATAAGCTTAGCTTTGTAACATAAATAGACGATTTAAATGTATAAATAAATAAAGGAGATAAGAAGCCCAAGAACTAGGTGGTGGTGGACTTTAAAAGGGGCAAAAACTATGTAAGATTAAAATATTATAAAAGAACCAAAATTAAATCTAGAAGATAAAACTAATATAATGTGAAATTACATGGCCAAAAAAGAGGTCCCTGGAGAAACAGAAGTTAAAGGGCATCATCTAAAAGAACTATGTAATGGGATGAGGATATCCAAACCATAGCAGGGGCAAAAAAAAAAATGAAGGTGTTATAAGATTTGGCAAATAACCAGAAATCAATAAGATTCTAAAATACAATTATGGAAATAAAGAAAGTTACAAAAGTAGTAAAAGGCATTTGCTAAATTAAGGGACTTAAAAATTAGATATTTTAACCATATTATATGATTCAAGATGTCAAAGCAAGGCTTTTTTTTAACCCTCTGAGCATTGTTTACCATCATCCAATCAAAAGAAAATACGGAATTAACTTTTTTTGCTATTTTGTGAATTTTGATTTGATTTAGGACATAATTGGTGTGTTCTCTGATGAAGAGATGTAGAGAGGAGATGGCAGTGAAGTAAGTTGCAGCGGTAGGAGGTGGCGGGGAGAGGGAATGATTAGAGGGATTAGAGAGAGTAATTTAATACAAGGGTTATTTAATCACTTCAAATGTTATTTCACTAAAGCACTACTGGTTAAATGGAGGAGTGTGTCCAGCTTAATATGTGATCAATGTGTAACTATAAAATTAAAAAGTAAATTATATAAAGTAGTTACTGTATCAACCATTCTTTTATGGGACAATGTCGGGAGACCATAAAACATGTTCGTAAGTGAAAATGGTACCATCAGCACTCAACATCTTATAAAACAATCTGAGCAAAACTAGATACATTTTTTCTGCCTTCCGTAGCAAGACAACCTGCCAACAAAAAATAAGGCTCTCAAGCATCCCAAAGAGAGCAACACAGACTCTGGTCCCTATCATACACGACCGCGATAAATCTAGGTTACTGTACAACACCGTGCTCAGAGAATGCATTATATTCCACAATGAGGGCCACTTTGTTTGAACAATGCTAAAAATATCCAGGAACAACACTTTAAGAGGAAAATCCCTATACAAAGCATCAGGCAAGAACCCACCTGGTAAGACGATATGCTTGAAGAACCCTCTCATCCCCCTTCCTAAAGCCACCTTGTAAGACAATCTAATGTCATTTAAGGTCCAAACACTCCTATTAGTCCCAAACTTCAGTCCATCATCCTACTCTGCAAACCATAGCCACAACCACTTGACCAGACCCAATATTTTAAAGCCAAAGGATTAATAAGATTCTGACATTAAAATGAGTTGAGAACAGACTAGCTAACAAACTTAATTTAAGCTAGCGAACGAACTCTTGTTTAGACGACCACCTTTTTGCATGCCAATTAAGCAAGTGCAAACTCAAACCAAAACTTAACTACTGATTTATATAAATCCTCTTACTCCCATATACTTCCAGCATCGTGCTCTCACTCTCTTGTTATTGCTCATGCACTGGTTTTGCACGAAAGCCCCACCACAAGGGGGGAAACAAAAAAGAGGGACGGGGATGCCTTTTTTTGGGCCATAATTAATCCAGAAACATAATCAAATTGTGCCTTCAAGTCAGGTCCACAAGAGAAATCAATCATTTGCTTTCTTAATCAAGGAAGCCAAAGTAAATTCCAGGAAAAAAAGATGGTCAGATATTATACCTGTTCATGAGCAAATTTAAAATCCTCCAAGCTCAGAGGTCGGATGTCTGAACTGCTGCACAATGCAGGTAAGGGTCTGTCCTCTGCCAATGCCAAGGCTTTCTCCTGAAATTGAGCAAATATATTATCAGATTGATTGTTAAAAGAAGCAAAAGAAATTGCTCTGCACATAATTTGACATTCCATTCCAAAATGAACTTAATGCAAGGTCCAATACATGCATATCATATATATATGTGTGTGTGTGTGTGTGTGTACATAATTCAATTACATCAATGACCTTTTATTGTTCGGACCGAAATGCATTCAAATGGCTTAGCAACTGCAGAATTAAAAGATAAAGAACCCAAAAGAACGACATACCAACCCAGAAGTCAATACAATTTGCCAGGTCAGTATTAATCGCAAAAAGAAGATAAAACATAAAAGTCTTCTTTAATAGGTGCACCTCCATGAAAACTAACTTATCAGTTAAATAAACTCAACAGGAGAGAGAAGTATCCCTGACATGTTGCTGCTATAAAATAAAAAAATTAAGAAATATAAAGAGAGACGAAGCAAGGCTTTATCGCTTTCGTTTTTTTTTTTTTTTTTTTGATAAGTAAGACTTTATCGCTTTCTTTCAAAATCTAAAACCAATCTGACCAAAAATTCATATGAAAATCAGTCAATCCATGGTGAGTATAATGGACTTGGACAGAACCAGTATACAATTTCATCTTTTTATCCGTACAACTCTATTTCACATGAGACTCGACGGATTAGGTGCCCTAGTGATTGATAACTGTAACAATGCATGTTGTATCTAGCTGCCAGAGTCCAAGGTTCACATGCCCATTTCTTGAATCAAATCCTTACAGTTCTTAGAATTATCGGCGAAGTTTATCAACCTTTGAATTAGTTTATGCCTTTTCACTTAGATCTAACAGTTTGACGTGTACGAAAACTGTGGATGATTTGCTTTTCTGTGCGCGTCCGCATGTGAGTGGAATTTTGTTTCCCGTGTATGACATTGATAGGCTTGAATGTTGTATTAATGTGTTTTATTTGGTTCTAGGTTGTTATATAAGATCTATAACAGTACCCATCAGAAATGATGGTGAATCCAGATCATTTGAACTCTTCAATTACATGGCATGCACATAAGAAAACTGGACAAACTTTACATGCAATGACTTGTAAACAAGTAATTGCAACCCAAAAGGGCATTCAATGTTGACCTAAAACCACAAGGCCAATAGAAAAAACAGCAAGAATTAATGAAGTGCTATTTCTGCAACCAAGAAATCTGATACAATAATCTTTTTATCAAGTATACCACATATAACTAAGGTAACTTTGACGTTTAAATAACTGAGCAACTGCATCCAGATACTTATGGTGTAAAACTGACCTTCTTTTCCTTCTCTAAGATTTCTCTTATGGGACAATGGGCTGCTGTCACACAAAGATTCTGAAACCCAAACTTTAATCAGACGAACCAGATATGGACCAAAAAAAAAGGGGGAAAGTTTATCAATTTGAAATAAGTAAAGCTTGAGGATTAAGAAAATTCATAAACAACCTTTAAGTCACTTCCTGAATACCCATCAGTCATGTTAGCAACTGCGTCAAGATTAACATCAGGTGCAAGTTCTTCCTTGGCTAAAATAACTCTTAAAATTTTCTCTCTATTTGGAGCATCTGGCAAGTTTACCATCAATCTGCATCAATATAAGTGTACATGAAACTGTCAATTATCGTGACATTTTATACCAGCCATATAGAATCAAAAGAGCAATTGCAACAAGTATTGTTTTTGCCTTCGGGGAAGCCTCCTGATAACAGCCTCATCAAGGTCAAATGGCCTATTAGTGGCAGCAAGTACAAGTACGCGTTCCTTATCCTTTGTACGCAGACCATCCCAGTTCACCATGAACTCATTCTTCATTTTACGCATTGCTTCATGTTCTCCAGGATTTTCACGTCTTCCTAACATGCTGTCAACCTAGAACCAAATATGTGCAAATGTAAAAGAGTTTGAAAAAAAAAAAAAAAAATTAAATAAATTGAACATTGAAGAAAGAAAAGTTGACTCTGAAACTACTTTTATGATCACTGAAAGTAGCACAATGGATATAACAGATTACAGAAATAAAAAATTATATATATACACAAACACAACAATAATATATTTAAATATTGCTAGAAGAGACTTAATTACAAAACTTTACCTAAAACAAGAACAAAAATGAGCCACTTATCAAGTGTCAGAAATGAATATGAAGACCATTCAACCAACCTCGTCGACAAAAATAACACTAGGAGCAATTTTACTAGCCAGCGTGAACACCGCTTTGACATACTTCTCCCCTTCACCAAACCACTATAAGCAACAAAAAGGCATCAATCGTTTTGAATATGGAAGCTTATGCACAAAAGCAGCAAAACCAACAGTCATATACAAGAAAGTACCTTCGAAGTAATGCTTGACATTGATATGTTAATAAAATTTGCACCAGCTTCAGTTGCAACAGCTTTTGCAACCATTGTTTTACCAGTACCAGGAGGTCCAAAGAGAAGTATTCCCTTGCAAGGCTGGAAAGAGAGTTACATACTTGGTGACAAAGCAAACAAGATGAACAAGCTTGATTTCACTGGGAATTTGGAGAACGAAACTACACTATATTGTGTAAAAAAGTATGAAAGGAAAAATAAAAGCCACTTACCTTTGTCAGCTGTCCTTTACCAAACAATTCTGGCCTTTGAAGAGGTAGCATCACCAATTCTTTCAGAGTATCTTTCACATTTTCTAAGGCTCCGATGTCATCAAAACTAACCCCAATATCTCCAGGAGGAATAACATCCGCGAGAAGTCTTTTCTCGAATTCATTCTCAGTAACCACATCCTGAAAACTCTTTTAGTCATACTCCAATATCATGGTACAAAAGAAGTGTTGGATAAAAAGAACAACGAAAGAAGAGGAAGAGATACAATTCAGAAAAAGAACCGATCAAGGTAACCAGAAAAATCCAGATATTATCAACTTCACCTTAAGTGATTTCTTTAAACTTTTGGTTTCGTTTTGAATACCCTGTAAAATGTTAAGCCCATACCTAATACTGCAAAATAAGACACAGTAATTTAAACATCAGAACATATAGAGGAACATCAAAGCAACATATTTTTCATTTCTCTTCCAACATTGTTAAAGACAAGAAAAACTACTATCGTAACCTTTCGCTAGAAATCACAAGTTTGGCATCTTTAACCGAAACTTCAGAGAAATGCATAAAGTGGTGACTCAAAGCCCATCCTAAAATTTTCTCCGAACCTATTAAAATCAGAAATAGAACATCACTAAACAACACAACCAAGATCACAGTAACCAAAAAGCACAACTACTAATTGTAGCATTGTAGTTCAAGATAATACTGACTTTCATTTGTCAGGGCTTGATCCTTTATGCACACTGTTTCAAGGTCAGGGCAGTTCAGCCCAATTCGGTTTAAAACCTGAAATCATGAAGCCAAATGTTAGTAAACAAGGGCATAAAGGTAACATCAGAAAAAGATTTCTGCTTTGTTTTCTAAATAACCAAAAGAAAATACTCCCTCTGTCCCATATTCCATAATAAACGTCCACCTTTCCTTATGCTGTCCCAAAATAATTGTCCCAATTCAAAAAGTCAATGTTTTATTTTTTCACCATTCCCAAATTACCCTTCTTGCATTGAACTTATAAAAATAAAACGCCATCACATCACTTGGACCCACCATGGATAGATTTGGTAATTCATTCACTACCAATGCAATTAAAAACCACTTCTTTTTTGATAATCAGGATGTCCAGGGCTTTTGCCCGGACTAATCCACGGGACCAGTACAAGCACCCTCCCACATGCATCGGGTAAACCTCAAACTATGTCCGCGGCCATGGCCCCTAATGAATTGTTTGCACCTAGAAGGAATCGATCCTGAGACCTGATACTTCTTGAGGCACCAAAGTACAATTATTTTTAAGTTCCCTAAAAGGACACTTAAATTGGGAAGGAGGGAGTAATACAATTCAACATCCACTTGGAAGGGAAGAAAATCTCCATCTTGACACAAATTATGATCCATTTTTTTATAAGTAAATTATGCCCATGAACTAGCATATAATCGGCAAGCTATGATAACTGCAATGTTAATGCATCTCTCAAGATACTACAGTTAAGTTGATTTTTATGCAAAAGCTACCTAACACAAAAATTAATGTGTACATCAACAACTACAGAACCGAGACAGAAAGAAATGAATAGACAGATAGTAATCTTAAAATTGCAGAAAAACAATAGCCTGTAACATGCAGGTGACTACTCACTGAGCGAAGGCTAACAATATTTGACTGTGATTTTAAAGTCTCGATATCACGATCCAACTGCTGTTTCCAGTCCAAAAGTAGAGTTTCATCCTGCCACAGTTTGAATAAATATCAAGTGCCTACCACACACAATAAAATAATTATAGAACACTATTGGATCACCAAGTGTAGAATCAGTACCTGAGGCATCTGTATAGTAACCTTGTTCGGGAAAAGACGGGTGAGCTGCTTCATTGTTTTGGGGGTGTCTTTGTTTTTATCATGCAGTCTACCAAAGTTATCCTGGATAACAATATAGTTACATAACATAAATGATTCAGGAAGTATTGCAAATTTTACATAGAATACAAACTCTTGCCCCATAGTGCTTACACTCTGAGAGTGGAGAATGTTGTACTTTAAAGTCAAGACTTGATGATGACAAATGCATTAGGTTCTTAACCGGATAATACAATCTCAAAATCAATATTAAGCACAATGATGAATATATCATCAGTAACAACAGTTCGATCACGATCACTTAGGGCCTGTTTGGCAACCGTTTCCATTTTGCATTTCTGTTTTCATCCGAAACAGAAACGGCATTTTTGCTGTGGAGGGTGTTCAATAGTGATTGGAAGCATGTTTGGTAATGTAAAATTTGTTGCAAGATTTTTTGAAGCAAAAACAAAAAAACATGTTTGGTAAAGAAGCGTTGCAAGATTGAAAAACAAAATGGCTGGTTATAAAAGAACATTTAGGCTGCATTCACTAACGGGAAACATTTCTTGTTTTCTGTTGCCAACCCTTAAAAAGGCAAAAACAAAAATAAAAATCGTGTTTGATAATTTTTTTTCGTTTTTTTATAATCAAAAACATTTTTCATTTTTGTGAAGAAAAGAGAAAACATAAAAAAGGTATTTCCACTGTTTTCGGCACTGTAGCTTAAAACGTTTTCACTATTGTTACTATACAAACAATATTAATTTCAAACAAAATCCATGTTATTCGTGTTATATATTAATGCTACATATTAAATACTAATAAAAATATATTTTTTTAATGTCTAATATATTATAGAATAATGTAAATTATTTTATTTAATAAAAAATATAGTTTTAATATATAATATAGATTTTTTTTGAGACAATAATATTTATGATTTATTATGTATTTTTTTATTTTATATTATTATACACTTATATTTTTATTTAATTTTTATTTTACATATCATATCTATATTATATTATATGTAAACACTAAATTATAAATAATGTTTTTGATCTATTATATGTAAACATTAAACTATAAATAATATTTTATTACATATAGGAAATATTATTTAATATTTTGATCTATTATAATATACTATCTGTTAAATATATGATGTAAACGTATACATCATCGTTTTTGTCTTATTATATATTATTTTATACTTATTTATTGGTTATTATTAAGATTTGTGAGTTTAAATTAGATATTGTATTTTATTATCATGTATTGGTTATTGTTAATATTTGTGAAATAATTGAATGGCATACATTCTCCATATTTTTAGGCTTTTTAGAACTAATGAATAAATAAATAATAAAATAAAATATTTTAAAATAATTGTACATCTGGTAACAAAAATGTATTACTAAACATTGTTATTGTTATCAGTTTTATAAATTCTGGCAACAGCAAGGGTTAATAAACGCCATTTCACCTTTCTTGTTTTCACTTTGAAAAGCAAAATTATGTTTCCGTTTCTTGCAACAGTAAAAACAAAAAATGTTTCACATTAGTGAACACAGCCTTATAGTTTTTTTGCAATGTTCACTACAGTGTTTTTTGCTAAATTGCGAAAACATTAGGAAACCAATTTGGGGTTTCTAATTTGGGCCTCTTCTTGGCAACAAACGTGGTACTATTCAAAAAGCAACAAAAGTTACGAAACGCTTTTGGGTGTTTTGCTTCACTACAGTACACTACCTGCGACAGAAAACACAAAACAAAAGCGGTTGCCAAACAGGCCCTAGAAGATAACATTCTATATAAAACAAGTGAAAGAGAGTTGATATTTGAAATTGATGAACAATCAAAGCACATACAAGAATGAATCTAAAGAAAATAGCTACACCCAAAGTGTCGGGCGAGGGAGAGAGCACACGCACACATACAGATGAGCTGCAGAAACAATGTTCGACATACCGGAAATGCAAGGTCAAAGAGTGCTGTTTGGTTGCTCCCGAACTTCGTAAACAGAAGACCACCAGGATGGGACTGTAAAACATACATAATACATGCTATTTAAGATATGTAAAATACAATTGCAGAAGAACTAAGACGCAAAAATATAAACTACGTACTTTCTCCTTGCGGTTGTCCATCTGGGTATGGGAAGCGATAACCACTATATTCTCCGATAAACTTTCAAGCTTAATCTTGAAAGCAGCATATGCCTCTGGATTACCCACCATAGACTTCTCTACGTCTTTCAGAAATAAAATTAGCGGGATGTGTCTACTTTCATTTGAAGCAACCTAAAAAATATGAGATGCACAGAATACATTACTACAAATTATTTAATATAAACAACACATCTGTAATGTGAACTCATAAAAGCCTAAATCTTTTCATTTGGAAAAACAATGCACCAACATATACCTCAAACAGGTCATTAATGGCAAGCTTGTCAATATCATCACCATTAGAGTTATCCAGGCGAAGCAAGTCAGCTGCACCGAAAAAATCATACTGTCATCAGTCCAGAAATAAAAAAGAATTGCAGGATATTGCCACAGAACCCAAGGGCAAAAATGTAAATCAACTGAAAGGAGGGGGCAGAAAATCACCAGCACAAAAGAAACCATGGTCATCTTCGCAAAGGCCCCCAAGATCATTGCCTTCTGGAATAGCTCTATCAAACCTAACCCCAATTTTGGAAGATCCATTATCTTCAAATGGAAGTATTACTTTGCCTCTATAACCATATGTCGGGCCCCTGCAAACAATCACAGAAGTTACAATTTCACATAAAGAAGACATAGGATAACGCATCCAAGGTCATTGACTTTATCCCATCCCAGCAAGCACTACCTTTAGCTGTGTCAACAACAGTTCCATAATCAAGATTAAAGACTTCAACTATTCAGTCAGGTCAAATCACCCAGAAATTTGAGGATCACACTAATTTGACACGCAGTGAAACCTCATCCTACAAGTTTATCATCTACGTGTTTATCATCTACATAAGTTTATCCAACTGGTAGTTTCTTACTAAGCCAAGCAACTGAAGTGGAAATGAGATAATTTTAAACCCAAACCTACAATGTAGCTCTAGACTCCAACTTTCGTAGGTTTGGCCTACTTCCTATCTTAGGCACTATCTTTTTAGGAGTAAATTCAAACTTTAGTCTACCTACTGAACTGGAACATGCTCATACACACCTTAGCATATCATTAGCCTATTGGTCACTTTGCCAAACACAGTGAAAGGCATCAAAATCCCCATGAGGTCACATAATTAACACAGGCATACAAGTGGGTAGGTACAAGAAACCAAATATACAATTAAGTGATACAATGCCTCTTATCTAGGCCGCCCAAGGGACATATTTTCTCCTTCACATTATAGGCATCCGGAAGTCTCCATCACTCATATCATAACCAAATTGAAGAGGAATTATAAAAGCCCCTATATGTATTGTCCAAAAACTGGTCAATGGTATGTTTGAGAAGGAATAAATTGGAGAGTATATATCTGAAACATTAAATTTCGTTTAGGGAAGGGGTTATAGTTATAATGTGAGTGGATCTGGTGTGGTAACAGCACGGTGCTGTATTGCACCGGACGGATGTGATCACTCACACACCCTGAGGTAAAGCACTATGCAATGTTCCGCAGAGGATCTGGACTCTAGTTATTGTATGTAAAATTCTAAAATTGTAGGGTAGTGTACGAATAACATTGTACTATGGGTCATTCAAAAACTATGCGGGGTTCCATTAGTAACAGTTCTATATAAGCATGAAGAACCAGTATGGACAGTAAAAAAAACAAATACATTACATCAAGCTGCAAGGGTTTTTCTTTTGACGAAGCACTTCATACTAATGATTGAAGAACATAGTGTTATCGAAGGCCCAAAGTGCACTAAGGCAAAAGGAGTCCTTTGGAGCCTAGGCACAAGGCAATGCGCGCACCTGAGAGAAGTGAGGCGCACAATTGAAAATTTTCATATTCCATATTAAAGGCACACCTGGGCACACAACATGAACATGTGTTGCGAATGTATGAGCCTGGAGCCTAGGCCCACCTTTAACAACACTGGAAGAAATACTAGAAATGGAGGAAGTTTCCCCTTAGATCATTAGATATGTCATCAAATACACCAATACATGGTGTTTCCAAGTTTCTGCCACACTTTTTGGGGTCTGCCTATTGCCTGGACAGTCCTTCTAAACCTATTCAAGGCCATAAAAGCCATTAAAGGAAGTTCTTTCAGACATCTGAATCCACTACCCGAAACAGAATGGACAGTACCGCATATTGTCCTATCTAGGTAATGGTCCCGGTACTCGCCCCTTACCTGATCGACAGAGAGCTTTCCTCTAAGATGGGCAGTCAAATTGGAGTTGTGATTAGCGTTTTTCGTTCTGTGTTAGTTTATTTCCGGCTCACTTGGCCATAATAGTCCTTTGACTGTCCTCCCAAATCATCACTGCCAATGGCAGAGCCTGCTGTACTAGACTCAACCACCAATTTTGTTCCTCCATAATATTATGTGCAGGGAGTTTTTGGGTAACAATGTTAGGCACAAAGCACTTTACGACTGTAATCTATATATTTAGTTATAACCTTCATTGAGAAATATGGAGCAGATTGGATAATAATATTTGTCACATAACAGTTATATTTAACTTCAATTAATAGAAAAAAATACCTTAGAGGAGCTTGAAGAGGAGAAAATCCAGATGATACTGAGCCCACATATTTTACTCTATCACCTGCCAAAGGCAATTGTTGGTAAAACCAAAGTAAGTTATCTAAAAGATCAATAGTTCGATAAAAAATAAAGTGCAAGAAAACAGAAGGGACACAAAAACCTAGGGACGGAGCCAGTGTGGGGCTGGGGGGGATTTTTTTTTTTTTAGTTTTATGTTCATATACTTGTGAAAATCTACTAAATGCCCCTCCTAAAATTTTCAATTTATAGAAGTATCTAAAATTTTTTCTTTCTTTTTTCTTTTAATCTTAAAATTCCTTTGATTCCCTTATTAAAAATTACATACCACATCTTCAATCAAACCCTAATTTTTTTCCCCTTCAAAGTTCTCTCATTTTTCTTTTCTTGTTCTTCTTTTCTTTTCTTTTCTTTTCTTTTCTTCTCTTCTCTTCTCTTCGCTTCTCTTCTTAAATGAATAAGAAGGTCAAGCATCTATATATTGTAAATGCAATACTTCAGAGTAAAAATAGTGTACTGGGCAAGCCCTTTTTTACCTTTCTTGAATGTATAGCTCTTTGATGAAGCAGTAGATGCCTCCTGCTTAGGCTGAGCCTGAGAGCTTATGGTAGACCCACCAGTTATATCGGCTTCAACACTTGAAGCTGGTTTCTTGAGCTGCAATGCAGCTGTTTGGGCAGCCCGTTTAGCAAACACACTTGCTCTTTCAGGCTTTGAACTTTCTTTTATAGGATCACACTCCTTTTGGACTGATCCCTGAATTACATTTTAAGGTACATTAGGATAAAAAAAAGTAGGACTCGTGTACTTCAACTCCTCCCACTTAAGAATGTAAATGTTGCTAAAGAATGAGGAAAGAAACAAAATAATCTCATTGAAGAAGTGACATAGATCCTAAGGAAAGAAAATAAATTTCTACTGAATGAGGAATCAAAATAATCTCAGTGAATAAACTTACGCCGGGCAATAGAAGAGAATCAACTATTAGAAGTCTAGCACCAAAATGTTTGGCAAGTGCCTTGGTCAGTGTTTCCTGATAAATTTCTGAACCTAGAAATGGAACCATGGGAATTATAATGTAGAAGATGAATCAAACAGAAAAAATTTAAGAATAGAACAAATTTTGAACACCAATAGGAGACCAAATGTATTACCTGCCTGACCAGATAATAATATTCTTGGGCACACGGTAGGGAGATCAGAGGTGTACTTTGCAAATTTATTACATTTCAAATGTATGTATGTAGAAGCAATCAAAACGTTCTTTGTGGTCTCACTGTCAGAATACACAAATCTATAAGATAAATCACCAAACAACATGAACTAAATCATGCAGATTCACGAAATACAGAAACTGGAAAATTTTCTTCAAATTAAACGTCACCAATCTGAAGACACGCACACGTATATGTACATATGTAAAAATCTAAAGAACCCAAATGAATTTTGGGAGAAACAGGGATTTTCAAATTCATGGGAATATACAGCAACAATAAAATGGAAGTCTCGAATAAACCCATAACATTAATCACAGCATAGAAATGTTAGTGATTTCATAGTATTAATCACATCACAGCCAAGGATTTTATCAGAAATCAGATCAACTTTTGCATTCAGTGCAATTAAGTCTGAAGTACCAATGTCACCAAACCTATTGGATCCTACCTTACACTCCATGTTCTTATGATAACCAGTGGCCAACATTCATCAGAGTTACACACCGCACATGATGCAATTAGACGCTCTCAATGGCATAGCTGCTTCGGGCATCAACTTAGAAACTTCCACATGGTTCAATAGGCAAGCACTATATCACATTAGAAGAATCCTCAAGCAAACAAACACCTAACCTGCCTATCTCGAAAAATACTGTTTAAAAAAAAAAAAAAAAAAAGAACCAAGTATAGACTATAGCAAAGCTTCAACTTTCAATTACCATCAAACTGGACAAAAAATAAAGCCAGATACATAACAGCTCAAACGAGGATACAGGTAATATAGAACTATAGAAGTTGGTTAAGTAGGAAAAAATTAAAAGCTATGTGTGCACATACTCGTGTGTTACCATTTATAACAGTGAATACATGAGACATTAAACCATTTCTAACAGTGAATACATGCATGCAAATACAAATGTCTACGAAGAGATCAACTCTTAAAGCTAATTATAATATCAAACTACCTAAAGCATCCAAATTTTATATTTAGACAAGATGTGCACACTGAAAGCTGATCATAATATCAAACAAGCTAAAGCATCCAAATTCTCCATTTATTTAGGAGTGAAATCTAAACCATTTGCAAAAACCAAAAACACCTATGAAAGTATCTATTTACAAGTACCACAAACAGTTCCCCTCTAGCAATCCAACCAATCAACATGCTTCAATAATTAAATATAACAAAAAACAATCAAGCCAGTGTCACGCGATAAAAATATTTACTGATTTAAGAGATAAAAAATAAAAAAGATCGTTGCATTTGACAGAATGCACAGAAGAAAACATAACAAAATCAATACAAAAATAAATAAACAGAAGTAGAAAGATCATTAACAGCCTAAAACTGAGTTCCAAGTTTTGTATACCTTAGATAATATGGGAAGTTTTCGAATGAAATTTCAATGTCATTCGGATTGAGAATTTCTTGTTGCAACCTATCTTTAAACACCTTATGCCTTGTTGATGATAAAATTGGAGGGTCAATATCTTTGAGCAATTCTCTTATTTCCCTTTGCTCATCAAGAATTTTCGAGATGCTACCACTCAAATCAAACTCAGAAGCAGAAGATCGTGCAAGCATCCTCAGGAGAGGCCGTAATTCATGAGTTGCCCCAGGGACTTTGCCGATTTCTCCATCGTTAGAGGCATCAAGATTCAGGCCTTCATTAGCAGCATCAGAAGATGGAATAACAGCTTTATCCCTCGATGAGATACCGGCCTCCTCGTTATGATCAGTATCCTTCATGTCAGCATCCAGAATAGGATTATCAGACACTTCACAAGCAGAAGGTAACATAGGCATTTCAGGACCTTGTTGCACATCCTCGTCATTTCGTGACGGTGGAGGAAGAAGAGATAACTCTTTCCTGATATTAGACAAAGATGCTAATATAGATGCCCCTGCAACAGCTGATGGGTCTCCTGATCTTGCCTCAAAATGTAATCCTTTAAACGGAGCACTATGGGCTTCTAATATGCTTACTGAAGGTGGCATGCCAGCAGCAGCTAAGTTGTCACTGACAAGGTGCTGGAAAATCTGATGTGTGTTAAGGAAACTTGCTTCTCTGAGGGAGTAAGGAGGGTTAAATATATATACTAAGACTGCATAAAACAATAATGAATTCCCAGTAACTAGAATAAACTAGATATCTACCACATATGCTGCATTGAAAAATTTTGGCACAAAAGGATACATAAGCATGTTTACCAGATGAACTAAAAACCACCTCATCACCTTCATTCAGATGTATAGTTGAATTTTTAGGGTAAACCTTGCCATTTACTTGGACAGCACCTTTCCCCCCAGTAATTTCTAGTAAGGTTACAGAAGAACCTCCTAACTGAGCATAGTAAAAGAGAACCATAAGAAATTCTGCCAATCATGCTTGGAATACGATAAAACAACAAGGCTGATTCCACCTTTTTTCTGATAAGTAAAACCAAGGGTGGTTTCACACTTCCATGAATTTATTTATGACCAAGTAACACATCCATTACATCAATAAATGGCACAAGAAGTTATACCTCAGGCTCTATGCGCCTCAGATTACACAAAGATTTACTAATGGATGGATCTCTCAGTGACAAGTCGCATTGACGGCCTTGACCAACAGTGAATATGGGACTGCTCATAATCACATGAGGATTCTGGAGTAAATGTAGAAGTTACAAACATTAGAAACAATAAGAATGTAAGTTTCAACAAATAACCACCTATGGAGATACATCAAAATCAAAATATTCTGCATTGATTACTGGGAAAAAATAATTAACGGCAACATACAAGTTCAGGTCAAAAATTAACAAGAAGACGAAATAGAAATTTCGTCTTTCCAAGGTTCGTCAATTCACTTTCACGCCTAGAAAAATCAAACTCGTCTAAAGCAAAAAAGTTTTCCCTTACCATCCAAGACAAGATGGTGAGGTACAGCAGAAGGTGCTGTATTTCTTTTTGCATAAATGCTCTAAGACCATTGGCTTGCCTAAAGCCTAATGAGCTCTTTATAGTTCTCTGATAGTATTTCTCATAAATTCGGATAAATAAACATTAAAAATACAAATAATTTCCTGCCCATTTTCTGAGCCTAGCACGTGAATTATTAAAATGGAAAAAATATGAAATTACATTATTTTTTTAGTTTTGATGAAATTACGTTTTTGTTTTATTTTTGACATTAGCAATATCATCCAATATATATATATAAATTATGTATAATGAGAGATACAATAAGCCTAATCTGGTTATAATTTCCTCGCACAAGGTTTACTCCCAGAATTGCAACAAGTTAGTGGATGAGTTTTGAACCTCTCTCTTGACAGTGGTTCCAATATTAACATCAGCAATAAAGGGGTGGTTCAATTGAATATAAAGATAAGGGTCAAGGAGAAAAACTTACGAATAATAATACATGTACAATAGTTTTTTCAAGGATTGTATGGGGCTCAGAAATGGCAAAGTCAGTTCTAAGGTGAAAAAAATGCTAGTATCAGCAAACTGTCAAGTTTTTTTAGTTTGGGTTGTTAATCAACTTCAAACAAACAAACAAACAAACAAAAAAGGAGATTTAAGCATTTCAAAGACCTTCAGAAGAAGGCACGAGAAGGTTGAGAATGGATGTCAATGCTTGGATGACTTGCCTTGTTCTAGAACACTGGAAGTAACGTCAAAAAGAAGGGGGAGTATGATAGCAACTTTAATCCGTAGGGAACTAGGAAGCATGGACACAACTCAAAGGTCAAAGAATTCGTGTTAGATATGGCCCGACACGTCTCGGACATGCCAAAAGACAGTGTTTGGAATTTTATTTTATTCTTACTTTCAGACACGCATGTTTCATTGTCATGGAGTTCTTAAAAAAAAAAAAAAGGTTTAAACTGTAAATATGATGTGACTTCTTTGAAAATTCTTGATAATAGGGCAGTCATAACAAAAAATATTTCAAATTTTTTGTTTAGAAAACAATTATAATTGTTGTTGTGGAGTAGATTCAATTGTGTTGTTCTTTAATCAGTAAACTAAACTATTTTTATAACTCACTAGTAATTATGATTTGTGATTTTTTCATTGTTAGATTGATGAAAAATAATATTTAAAATATATATATATTACTCTAAGAACTTTAAATAAATAGTATTAAAAGTTTATTAAAAATAGTATTACTCTTAAAATATAGGATCATGAATATAAAATGATATATTTATTAGTCGTTGTGTCGTGTCCCCACCCATTTGTCGTATCTGTGTCGTGTCTTGTATTTGAATCCATGCTTAAACAGGGCATTTTGTCAAGAGCCTGACGAGAAGTTCCATTTCTCGTCACAAATATAGAGGATTTTAAACACTCTTGTTCAGCTCCCATTTGACCCATCTAAGGTCTTGCTCACTCCCTCATAGAAAGATTGCAAGGGCAAGGTTCAGAACTACCTAATAACTCAAAAGAACAACTCTTTTTTAAAGGATAAAGATGACATATTTCCATGCGCAACATGAAGTCTAATGGATGCATAGGCATTTTCTTTGATGAGGTTCAATGTTCATTTGATTGGTGGAACACAAGCCAAAAGAGAGCTTTCAATCAAACAGCTTAATGCACAAGGTAAATTTGAATAGCATAAGTTGATTGAACAGAATATAGCAAACAAGGAGTGCACATAAAAACAGAGCATCTCTTCATCAAAGGGAGACGAGGAATTATAGAGTGTGAGGTGATAGAAGTGAGGCAGCAGCTTATGACAATACCGGGCTAGAATCCTAAACATCCCATCCTCTAGGAAGTCCTAAAATGCTTCTCATGGTAAATGCTCATTCTGGGTGTTCTCAAGAGAAATTAATTTGTGGAATCAAACAATCTTTGGCCCACTGCTAAAGGGCAAGGCGAGTGTACCACTGAAGAGTAGAGGCACTTGTGAAAAGGCCCAGCCCAACGTTTACTAGTTAAAAATCACAGTGTCAAAGAAACTTCTCGCCTATGGAACTGGGAAAGCATCCATCAAGTGGTAGTTGGGCAAACAATGTCAGCACAGAACTAGCAAAAAATCATGGTGGTAAATTCTCACGTTAAGTTCAGCAACCTTAAAGATTCTAGATTTTTTAAAGAGACATCAATTGTAAAATCTAACAATCTTAGGCCCACTACCTAAGGGCAAGGACACCACAGAAGAGTAGATGCAGTTGTTTAAAGGGCATTAAGCCCTTTTCTTTTTGCATTACTTGTGGATAAATGCTATATAGGGTATGCTATTTGCCGATGATATTGTTTTGATTGGTGAAACTAGAGTTGGAATTAGAGCTAAACTATAGGTTTTGGGGAAGAAGGTTTAGAATCAAGTATGTTTAAGATAAGTAAGACTGAAATTGAGAATACAGAATGTAACTTTGGTAAAAATGTATTAAAAAGCAAACATTCTTTTTTCGTAGGCTCGATAATGCACAGAAAGGGACAAATTGGAGACAAACTTCTAAAATTGAAAGAGAAATTTTATAAAACAGCTATTACACGTCATACTTCAGGCTAAAAACAACATATTCAACAACTTAATGTCAGGAATGCAAATGTTGATTTGGACGTGTGGCAAGACAAGAAAATAATAATAAATAATAAAATATAAAAATAAATTTGTAAGATGGTTGAAATAGCCCATATATGAGTCAGGATTAAGAAAAAATAAATCAAAATCAAACATACATAAAACACATTTTGGTAAACTTACCAGCTTCAATAATTCATACCATTTTTTTTTTTTTTGATAATTAATAATTCATACCAAATATTAAAAACAAAATTTCAAACAGAGAAAACAGTTCAGTCAAACCCAATAATTATATTCAATAAGAACCCTATTTTTCTGTTCGTCTGCTTATAAAAGCATTTTAAAATAGATGGAAAACTTGCAACAGATATTGAGTAAAGATTCATTTTCTCCCTATCTTGCAAATCTTTGCAATTAAATAAAGTGAAGATGAAAAAACAGATGACGAAAAAATAAGATGAAAAAGGCCTGCCTGAGAAAACTGGGAGAGAAGCTTTCCCCATGCGACTTTAACATTTGATTTCAGTTGCCGTTTTTTGGCCCGATTCAACACTGAGCCACCAGACTTTGTCTTCTCCGCATGGATTGCGGAATCACCTAAGGCCCATCACCGGATACAATAAGAAACACTATAAATTGAAAAATATAGCAGAAAAGGCCCAGAAATCCAAGAAAGTTAAAGTACATGCAAAAGCAAGAAATCGCACCTGGAGACGTTGGAGACACCAAGGGCTCATCTTCCACTGGAACAGCTGCGGATTTTTCTGGTACAGTCGCATCAAATCCATCGGATGGTTTGGAGAGATCAGCACATGGCGGATCAGACGATCGAACCTCCAGTCCCTTAGATTCACAACCCGATTCCTTCGCCGGACCTAGGGTTCCGATCGGAGGTGCACGAGGTGTCTCGTTCGTTGATGACGAAGCCTCCGCCGCCTGAAGTACCGATCAGAACACATCAAACTCGTAGAATTCACATGAATCTGAATAAACATATATACATATATGATGCACATTAATGGATGGATAAGCTAAACCCAAACCCTAATCGGAAAAGAACGAACCTTTGACCTTTTGCCGTTGGGAAGAGGAGGAGAACATGAAGAAGAGAGCGGACGTTTCGAGGAAGATGAGCTTCGTCTGGTTTCAACCATGTCGATCTTGTTTGATGAAAGGTTTGTTCCGGAGAATAAGAACAGAGATTTATTTCATATAGAGAGAGAGAGAAAAGGGGGTGAATGATTGCGGGATATCAGTTATCAAGCTTTCTGTTCTAAGTTTTTTTATATTTTATATACTCCGTATGTAATATACATATGAGAGAGAGAGAGTGGGGGTTATTAAGCGGCAGGAAGTAGGAAGGAGCGGTTTGGGTGAGTCATAAAGAGTGAGAGAGAAAATTTAATGATGTTTTGGTAAGGGTCAAAAGCCAGGGGATCTTTTCTAGTCTCTAAATTATCCTCAAATTTTGATATCTCGTGTTTCTCTCGTATACATTGACCATAATCCAAAATAAATTTATTCTGTAAAAGTAAAATATTCCCCAAAAAAATTAACTTTCTAAAAAATATGTACTGTATTCTCAAAGATTCCATATTTTCAATAACTTTTAAGTTATACAATCTGGTATGAATATGATTGTGTTATTAGCATGTTTACAGTGTGTAGAATAAAACATGTAATTTTTACAAATAAGTCGTATCTAAGATAGGTTTTATCCAAAGTAGCATAAGTAAAGACAATTTACACATTATTTAAAAAACAAAAAAATATTATTTTATGAAATGACAACAACACCACTAACTTCCTAAGTGGTTTGGTGGGGAAAAATAATTTGAATGGAAGGGATAGAAGTAGACTAATCAATGGATAGGATTATGTTCTGAATCCAATATGAATTGTTGGACGTTGATTATGTAAAAAAATTGATACGCCCATAATGATCTGAACCCAATAATCTTTTTAACTTAGGGCTTGTTTGGTAAAGTAGTGGTATTCATTTTTAGTTATACTTTTATTTATGTGAAAACAGTTCCCTAACCTATACTATTGAATTTTTTATAACAGAAAAAAATATATGTGTTTGGTATTTTTTTTTTAAATGATTTTTTTATTTACTATTTGAGTTTAATTGAAAAATAATAAAATAACATTTTTAATTTTACTATTCGAGTATAATAAAACATGTTTATAAATTTATTTACTATTTGAGTATAATTGAAAAATAATAAAATAATATTTTTTTTACTATTTGAGTATAATTGAAAAATAATAAAATAATATTTTTTTTACTATTTGAGTATAATTGAAAAATAATAAAATAATATTTTTTTACTATTTGAGTATAATTTAAAAATAATAAAATAATATTTTTATTTTTACTATTCGAGTATAATAAAAAAAATTTTATTTTATTTTCTGTTTGAGTATAATTAAAAAATAATAAAATAATATTCTATTTACTATTTGAATATAATTCAAAAATAATAAAATAACATTATTAATTTTACTATTCAAGTATAATAAAATATGTTTTTAAATTTAGTTACTATTTGAATACAATTGAAAATTAATAAAAAAATATTTTATTTACTATTCGAGTATAATAAAATAAAAGGGTAAATTACACTCAGTGATTAGGTCATTTCTCACCTAAATGAAGATTTTGATTTTAATTTTTACTTATATTTTAATGAGTGATTTCGTATTTTACTTATATTTGGAAAGAGTGATTTTGTATTTCACTTACATCTTAAATGTCAATTTGCAGTGACGTAAGAGTACTTTTAGGTATAAAACGACTATGCTACTGTTTAACCTCCTTATTGACTATTTTTTTTACCAAACTACCCCCAAAGCATGGCCTTCTCTCTCCTCTCCTCTTCTTCCTTAACTCCACCCATCAATCCTGCTCATCCCTCGCCCAAATCCCACCTCAATCCTGTTCATCCCAACTTTATTGATCTTATCAAGTTGTTATATTTATTTATATTAATCTTATTTGCTGTCCAAACAATAGATATATATATATGTATCACACACATAACTTTTTCTTTTTTTCTTCTGAGTTCTCACAATATTATTTTCAAGAATCTTGGGTTTATTAAGTTATATTCCTTTTTTTTCTATTTCAGGAATTAATACTTTTGCAATTTTTCTACCAAATGCATACACATCGTACAAACACACATACTTAAGTGTGCATATATTTGTACAACAGTGGTGTATTTGCAATAGTGCTCTTAAGGCAGTATTATCTCTGCACCATTGACTGTTCTTTGGGGTCCTGATATTATTCTTTTCAAACTGTGAGATAAAGCCTTGAGGTGGTATTTCTGAGTACATATTAAAAGGTTCCTTTTTATAGAAATGGGATCTGTTTTTTTTACTTCTCATCATTCCCAAATAATAATAATAACAATTAAAATAATCAGTAAACAAGTAATGAAAAAATAAACAAAAACAAAAAAATATATATATATTTGAAAAGTCTCAGGTAGGAAGGAAGTTGATTTTGGCAATCATTTTTTGGTTCATTTATATGGATATAAACATGGTTTTTTTCGGTAATATGATGATTCCAGCAGGAAATTATTATCTGTCGAGTTCCGACGCAATCAGATAACGACTCAACTCCCTTACGAGGGGGATCAAGAAGACATATCATGGATGGATGCCTAAATTGGTGGGATCACCAGGCCCTATATCTGGTCTATTGGATTACGTTAGAGCTTGATGGGGACGCTAAGGCATATTGAATGGGGACGCTAAGGCATATTGAATCTTAGAGTGCTTTTATATATATATATATATATATATATATATATATATATGAGGTTTTTTATCATTTAAGATTATAGATATTTTATATTAAAAATTTGAGGGTAAAATGTTCACATGTATTAGAGGCTAAAATGTAAATTGGGGTGTAAGTGAAAATTAAAACTAAAATCTTCATCTCGCTGAAAAATGACCTAACTTCAGAGAATCTGAGTGTAATTTACCCTAAAATAAATTTTAAATATTTATTTACTATTCAAGTATAATTAAAAAATAATTAAACAATATTTTATTTACAGTATAGAAAATAAAAATAAAAATAACATTTTTAATTTTATTATTCAAGTATAATAAAATATTTTTTAAAAAATATATTTACCATTTGAGTGTAATGGAAAAATAATGAAATAATAAAATAGCATTTACTAATTATAAAAATATTAAATAATAGTATTTGAAAATCAAAAGTAAAAACCAAAGCGTCGTCTTGGAGCTGTGGGAATTGTGAAATAAATGACAACTAGTTTTCAAAAGTTTTGAAATAGAAAAGCCAAAATAGAGTTATCAAACAGATTTGTTGCCATTTAAAAAATTTAATAATGAAAATCACAACAGCAAATCAAAACTAAAAACATTGCCGAATACTGTCTTAACAAATTGGATATGAATTAAAGTTGATCCGTCAATAATCTGATTAAAATAATAATTATATTTATATTCTATATATGTATATATAAGATATCACCATTAAATTTATTTAGTTGTAACTTGTAATGAAAAAAACTAATCAGAATGATGTTCTCACCCACATGATAAAACTCTCTGCGATACTCTTTAATTTTAGAGATATGGGTTGATCAAGTTCACGCTAAAAAATTAAAAAATATCAAAATAATTAAGTATTTAAACAAGCACACATTACAGAATAAAATAAAATAAAATAATACGCTGAAGAAAAATAATAAATAATAATTTTACTAATTAATAATCATTCAAGAGTTACAATTTAGGAATCCCGTAATTCAAGGACCCTTAACCAAAATCCACTATTCATAAATTTATAAATAAATACTAAAGTTAAGTGGCATAATAATATCTTATTTCTAAATAAACAAGAATAGATTATAGATAAATCCCCAAATTGCAGATCCTCAATCTTGAGACTTGAACCTCTAATAATCTGAAAGATCAAAATAAAGTGGGTCAAACCCACGAACAACCTCCCTTTACCAAATCTCTAAAAATCGATAAATAGATCATTTCTAACTAAAACCAATCATAATAAAGTTTTATCCTTACTCACAATATGCAACATCAAACATAATAAATAAATAAATTCCCACCTAATTTTCTAAACACCCCCATTGGGCATTTTTGAAAAAAGTAAAATGCCAAAACAAGCATTACGGCATTACTTTTTATTTATTTATTTATTCTATTCCCTAGTCGGTACTCACGCATACCCCTCTAAAAAATTGTTTGCACCTAGCACGAATCGCTTACAGCATTACCTTATGTCAGATATGTGCAAAAATTAATTTAAGAGGTGTTTTCACTAAATTTAAAAAAATGAAGGAATTAATAAAACAATTTTTTAAATAGAGGGTGAAAGTACTATGCTATTGTTTTATTCACTTTACCCTGTATCATATAATTAATTTCTCATTCTTATTTTATCAAACTCCATTGTTTAACTTTTTCCACCATACAGGCACATAACAAAATAAAGATAAAAAGAGGCCATTATTCTTGACAAAGAAAACTTTATTTTTTTCAATGTTTCCTTTTTATTTTCACATCTCTACTGTGTGGAATCACAAATATCAGTACATATCAGTATTTATCCTATACTTATTATTACAATATAAATGCCAATAAGTTTTATATTATTTATATACATTTTCTGATAAACAACTAATCAAATATTTTATTTTTCTCAATTTCTATTGGCTTATTGTTTATTTATTTAGTTATAATTTCATAAAATTATTAATTTGTATTTATTAATTATTGAAGTAATTTTTTTTTTTGTATTTTTCAAAATAATTAATAAAAGACTATTCAGTTGAAAAAAAAAAAGGGGGCAGCCATTGCACCATTCTGAGTTAGCTCAAAAATTACATAGAACTAAATGATGTTTTGCTACCTTTTTTTTTAACATTACATTCTTAAATCCACCACAATTTTTTAATACATGCATGAAGGTGCATTTTAACTTGTGTACATATTGTGTGTATATATATATAATTATTCACAACGGCTCTTTCTTATTGAAATGTCTTTAATATTATTTTAAATTTAAAATACAATATATACCATTTATTTATAATTTAACCAAGTAAAGTAATTATTTCAGTTATTGAAAATTTTTATAATTAATTTTAAAATGAAAGTATTTATTAAAAAGAGGACTTAATGGGTCTATCAATTTATATATTTTTTTTGTTCAAGACTTCGCGCGCCCACATCATCCCCATGAAAGGAGGAAAAGTCCTATACAACAACCTTGAAACTAACAATACCAAAATCAAGACTTACACGAACTTAGCGTTCTAATGGTTTGAAATTGAATATGGATGCCGCTAATTGATACTGTAACTCAAATAGGCTCTCTCTCTCTCTCTCACAATGCGCGAGCGCGCGCGCGCGCGCGGTGTATGCAAGCAGCAGCTACTGGTAAAAGCTATACCCATCAAAATTGTTTAGGAACTTTCGAGCATTGTTGGTAGAATAAAACCAAAATCAAGAATTAAACGAGAGGCAATTTAGCAGACAAAGCATTTTCAACCCGTCAAACCTTACAAAACATGAAATTGAAATCCGTGACAAGAGGCCACCACCCATTACCGTAATCAGACGGCTCTCATTCAGCCACGACGACAGCTTCACCGTCAGGCGAAATGGTGGGCCCATTCTCAGCACCCTCGAACACCTTCGCGATCCTCTCTATGGGCACCAAAGGCAGGTACAACGAAACCGTGTACCCTCTGTCCGCCGTATAACACACGGCCCGATTGTATTTCTCCGACCAGTAAAGGCCTGTGGGGACCACTATATGAGCCACTTGGGGGAATAGGGGAAGCTGATTCAGAGAGCGCCAAGCCCACACGGCGTACTGCTCGGCCACCGGCTCGTACGTCGAATAGAGCGCTTTGGCGGTGGGCTCGTACTTGGTGTACATGGTCTTGGCTACGTTGGTAGCCGTGCCTACCAAGCCGGCTTCCTGGACTTCCGAGGCCACAGCTCGAGCCACCTCTGGAGCCTTCTGAGCCGCCGATAAAGCCTGGAGTGAAGCCTGCCTCACCAGCGAAGGCACGTGACGATCCAACTCGTTCAGGGACTCGTCCACCTGCAACGCACGTGAAACATTGTCAGGGTTCACGTTATACAACCGGTGTACCGGAAACGGCGCATCTGGACAATAAGATTAACCGAATAATATAACATGCGCCGTTTGCGTAAGATATATTAACAGAGAAGAAAGAATCTAAACCTTCCGATCAACGAACATGAGGAACTCGAAGGGCACGTCGTGAAACTTCTCGTAGACCGGTCCGATGACTGTTTTCACGGTGCCTTCGACGGTCTGGACACCGGGTTTCAGTGGACCAGAATTTTCTTTGGCGTACTCATAGAGGCATGAGAAGCAAACGACTATGTAGATCGACGCCACTTGGACAAAATCAAGATATTTCAGCCTCTTTTCATTGTCTTGAACCTTCAATTAAAATTAAAGCATAAAACAGAGAATCAGGCCTAAAAAAATACAGAGTATCAATTACCGAACAAAAAAGAGTATTAAGTAAACAAGATCGATCAAATATATGTTAATTCTTTGTAAAGATAAATTCCGGAGCAAGAATGAATTAATAAAGAAAGTAATCTCCATCAGAACAGCAGAAAACATCAATCGCCCTGTTTGGTTACTGAGAAAAGGGACGGAAACATATATAGAAAATAACAAGAGTTCAATCTTTTGCTTTCACGTTGTTCTGTTTGTTAAAGAAAAAGAAAAAAAAAAAAGTTTACAAAATCGAAACATATACTGTAGCGCAATTGATTAGGGTTTCTAGTTTTCTGAGATGCAAGATTCTGCTCCGTTTTCAATTCCATCAATTTATCGGAAACCAATCAGGTTTAATAGAGAAAGGAGAATTAAAACGAAACTAACACAGAAGATCGAAGTCAACGAAGAAAGACTCGCTTACCATCTCCTCAGGCTGTTTGGCTTCTGATTCCGCCATTCTTCAGATGCGAACTTCACCAGAGAGAGAGAGAGAGAAAAGAAATAGACTTATTGATATTTGATGCGAAAATCTAAGGAAGGAGGAAAGTTGGTAACGCAGACTACGCAGTCGGAAAAGAGAGTCGTAACAACTTACCCTTTATATTGGGATTCTCAATCTTGTGCGATGAGGTCGAAGAAGATCAACGGCCAGAATGAGATCTCTTCCACGTGTCAACCAAATGTTGGTGTTATGACGGTCCATCGCGAGTAAGACCAATAAAAGATCCGGAAAAACAAAAAAAAAAAAAAAAAATTTGGAAGAAGAAAAGAAAAATTTGGAAGAAGAGGTTAGATTAACTCGACTCTAAGGAATATTATATTTTATATGATTATATCGTACCATTGATAAAAATAATAAATAAATAATTATAATAGAAATATAAAGCCAGGGTGGTATTTGAGTTGTGAGTTTTTTTTTTTTATTATTGGTTGTTTGATTGAAACTTTTTTTTAATAAAACAAGCAGTGGTATTTCATGATAAGATTTGTGTCTCAATCGATTGACTTGTGAAGTTGTGATCAATAAGTACTGATAATTTATGCTTTTTGTTCTTAGTTTAAGATCAGTTGTATTATTTATTATTATAAAAATATAATACTATTAAGTGGTGACAAAAAAGAGAATTACTCTTTGTCTCATATTATTATGTTTAAAAATTAAAATTTTTAAAGTAATATTTAATATGAGACGAATGGAGTAATTACCAACTTATTTTTTTTAGTTTAGATATATATAATTGCTAAGTTTGAAATTTTTTAAAAATATAAAAAAACAATAATAGAAAGATAAAATTTATTTACTTTAATTTTTTAAAATAAATAATTAATTTAAAATTTAAAAAAAAATGAGATAATGAATTACTAACGTGGGCAGAGGTAGTACTACTTTTCTGTGACACGAGTGAAGTGATGTGCACGGGGATGGCAATGCAAATCTCATCGCATTGGCACGAAGTTCGATGACAGTATCTGCTCCCACCTCCCATAATGCTCCTGTGGGCCGTGGATTCCTTTCCTTAACAGCACGGAATACAATGTAATGTTGGAAACAGTAGTATTTTAAAAAAAAAATTTGAAAAAATAATTCGACATTCAAACTTTATTTACAAAAATATATACCCCTTCCTTTATTAGTAATTTATTTATCGCTTTTTATATGTTTTAAATTAGTTATTTTTTTTTTTAAGTTAAAGTATTTTTTCATTATTTCCATCATTCTCTTTGATTTTTTTAAAAAATTTCAAACTCCGTAACTATATATATTTAAATTAAAAAGGATAATTTGATAATTTTAAAAGGAAATAATAATAATTTGATAATATTAAAAGGGAACAATGCATTAATTGCATATCCTTTTAAAAAGTTATAAAAACTAAAGATGGACCACTAATAAGGGACGGAGATAATAATAAAAATGCTCTAGACAACCACTTTATAATTATGGAGATAATAATAAAAATGCTCTAGACAACCACTTTATAATTATAACAATAACAATGTATTTTCAAATGCTATGCCCGTAATAGTGTGTTTTTAAATTATATAATAAGTAAGACATTTATACTTATCACGGTTTCTTTTAAATTTGAACTTGTGTGTAAAAGATGGATCACAATTGTACTTTCATTATATCTCATCAAAGTTCAAATTTTTAAACGTTCAAAGGATGCAACCTAAAAATAAACTGAATACATGAACTGTATACTTCATTTTACAATTATATTAGTTTCTCACCTATAAAAAGTAACTATGTTGCAAAAGTGATATATATATATATATATAATTTTTTATGACAATAAACTCACATATTAATTTTTTTTTTTATCACTAAATTACAGCATTTAATAAAAGTGAGAGTTTAAGTCTCTTACAAATAAATGAAAAATAAATGAGTATTAATTAGTAGTTCTTGTGCGCAAGAAATATATATATATATATATACACACACTGTCACTTGAGCTGTAGACTTATTCTTACCATTATTTTCATCTCTCACATATAAAAGGCAAGTTAAGTTGAAAAACGTAAAAAATAATAATTTCTTATATACTAGTGTGTATATATATATATATATATATATATATATATATGTATGTATGCAATATGCATGAGTGACATCATGAAGATTTTCCACGTGGGCTGAATGGTTTGCAAAAGTAAATGCTTTCGTTTCTATCCTTTTTGCAATTTATTGATAAGTTCAAACTTCATCAATCCCCACCCCTCCCTTATCTAGTTATCTTCTTCAACTTCTTTTGAGCAAGTTACATCGAAGCAACATTCCATACCCGCCAAACAAATTTGACGTCAAAATTTCGACTGCTTTAGTTGTGAATTTCGGTTTTTGCATCCCATGAGTTTGAAAATTGTACCGTATTAAGATTACCAAATTTGAAAACTTTATCGTTTTAAAATAAAAAAAATTAAATATACTTTAATCGTGTACACCATACATTAAATATGCTTTCTTTATTATTCATCATATATTAACGTATGGTGCAGTTTTTAAAGTTTTTTTAAATTAGTTGATATAGTTTAACACAAATTGTACATAGATTTTAAATGTCATGTGTCAATATGCAAATAATTCAACTTAGGATAACTTAGAAAACTTGGACGATCCAAGTCCGTTTTTCTGACGTTGGATTTTAAAATTAAGATTACTTATGTCATATTTGGTACAACGGTTTTGGGTTTGAAATTGAAAAAAAAAAAAAAAAAAAAAATTCAAATTCTAAATTTAAATTTTTTAAATTGAATTTCAAGATGATGATTTGGTATTTCCAATTGAAATTGTATTTATATGGGTGAAGTGCATAAAACAATCTAAAGTATACGCGGAATATACTAACATTTTCATTCTTATTTTAAAAAGTGTGTTAATAACCCCCTCGTATTTTTGTGAGAAAACATTCCTTAAACAGAAATCTGACATAAAATAATGTTATAATACCTATTTTACCCTTTTACTTTTCTAAAAATGACATAAAATAATGTTGTAATACCTATTGCGCACATCAACTATATTCTTTTATTTTTAAATATTTTTTCTCTATGATATCTTTAACCGTTGAATAAAATAAAAAAAACATAAAAAAAGATAATACTTGAATCCAACCCATATTGAATGAAGTTCATTTAACCTGTCTACATGGCCCAATCATTTACCGACAAGTGTCCAAGAGCAATATTAGAATTAAGTTGGGTTTTATCCAACTATTCGAACTCACGTTTTCCGAACTTTTTTTTTTTTTTTTGGCTTACTTTCAGAACTCTCTGGATTGGATCATCGTTTTCTCTAAAATTTAAGGTGTGTTTGGATGAGTTGATTTGGAGGGATAAGGAGAGAACAGAAAAAAAAATGATAGGGTGTGAGTGTGTTTGGGGTGTGTTAAGTGGAGAGAAAAGAGAGGATAAGGAAAGATAAGGAGGGATAACTATCCCTCCTTATTCCTCATTTGGTTTCTCTTCCATTTTGAGAAGGCAGGAGAGAAAGCATAGTAAGTAAGTGGTATTTTGATAATACTCAAAATAGCCTCCACAAATCAATATACAAAAAAGTTATTCCATTCAAGTCCCAATTATATAATTATCCTTACTAACCTACCAGGGCAACAAATAAAGTTTGCTTTAATTAATTCTTGGTGTATTTTGATTAATAGTGTCCCTAAGAAATAGAAGATAAAGGAACAATGGTTTAGGGAATTAGGGACATTATGAAAGGGTAAGACAGTAATTTGGTCACTATAATTTATTTTATCTCCTCAATCTTATCCAAACAAAAATAATTATCATTTCTTTTATTTTTTCTCCTATCAATTCAAACATGAATAGAAATTATTACTATAATTTCTTTTCTTTTATTTTCTTTTTTCTCCTAATTAATACTATTATTTCTCTTATTTTTTCTCCTATATATCCAAACGCACCCTTAATTTATCCCACATCAAGTACACCGTTTTCCCTTGCGTATTTTGATTAAAAGTGTCCTTAAGAAATAGAAGAAAAAAGAACAATGGTTCAGGGAACTAGGGACATTACAAAAGAGTAGGACAGTAACTTGGTCACTATCGTTTCTTTTCTCTCCACTATTTTATATAAAAAATAATAATTATCACTTTTTTTCCCCCTATTAATCTACACAGGAATAGAAATTATTACTATCCTTTCTTTTATTTTATTTTCTCTCCTAACTAGTACTATTATTTCTCTTATTTTCTCTCCTATACATCCAAATGCACCCTTAATTTATCCCACATCATATACATTATTTTCGCTTGCTTTAGCAGAACCCCAATTCGTTGCCTTATTTCTTCCTGAAGAGTAGTCCTCATCTCTCACTCTGTTTCACCTTATTCATCACAAAACCCATAAATGAAATCATTATATAAATCCAAAACCAAACATGTGTGTGGAAATATGAATCTATATTATGAAAACGCGTTTGAGATTTTGTTCGAATTTGAATTGTAGACGAACCATATTTATTTCCTCTACTTCTTGAGCTCGGCAGCCAAAGACAGAGAAAACTCCATTGTTAGATAATTATGATCAACACTCGTTGAACAAGAAGCCTCTTGATTATTATAACTATTAAAACCATTAAATTGAAACACTTGGTGTTGTCGGTGCTATTGAAAATTGAAATTAGCTCCATCTTCAATCCCCAAAACAGAGCTCGTAAGCCAACCCAGATTTTTAGAATACAAGATATGGTTAGCTAGAGAGAGAATGAGAAATGCATGGGAAAGCGTGGGGGATGAGTGAGATGTGTGCATATACGCAAAGATGTCAGTGAAGAGCATTTATGTAACTATTTGCCATGCTTGATTCATCACCGGACTGAACTTCATCGCCCACTCGTCGTCACGAGCGCATGTGAGTAGATCTAACACATCTTTCACACACATACGTACACCCCCTTTTTCTCCGGCGACTGCAATTCGGCCCTCAACATCAACTCTTGGCAACTATTGTTCTCAACGACGGCAAGCACCAGGGTGAATGGAATAGATGGTGATGTGACAACGAGGATGGAGGAGTTGAGAGAACTGAGAAATTGGGGATGGAGAGATGTG